TCACTATATCCGGGCTCCCCGGACCCCGCGTTCACTATATCCGGGCTCCCCGGACCCCGCGTTCACTATATCCGGGCTCCCCGGACCCCGCGTTCACTATATCCGGGCTCCCCGGACCCCGCGTTCACTATATCCGGGCTCCCCGGACCCCGCGTTCACTATATCCGGGCTCCCCGGACCCCGCGTTCACTATATCCGGGCTCCCCGGACCCCGCGTTCACTATATCCGGGCTCCCCGGACCCCGCGTTCACTATATCCGGGCTCCCCGGACCCCCGCGTTCACTATATCCGGGCTCCCCGGACCCCGCGTTCACTATATCCGGGCTCCCCGGACCCCGCGTTCACTATATCCGGGCTCCCCGGACCCCGCGTTCACTATATCCGGGCTCCCCGGACCCCGCGTTCACTATATCCGGGCTCCCCGGACCCCGCGTTCACTATATCCGGGCTCCCCGGACCCCGCGTTCACTATATCCGGGCTCCCCGGACCCCGCGTTCACTATATCCGGGCTCCCCGGACCCCGCGTTCACTATATCCGGGCTACTACCCCGGACCCCTAACGTTCACTATATCCGGGCTCCCCGGACCCCGCGTTCACTTCACTATATCCGGGCTCGCGTTCACTATATCCATCCCGGGAGGTGTGACCCCGCGTTCACTATATTTCCGGGTGAAGGAATGATCCCGGACCCCGCGTTTCACTATACGGTTACGTCCGGGCTGGCCCGGACCCCGCGTTCACTATATCCGGGCTCCCCGGACCCCGCGTTCACTATATCCGGGCTCCCCGGACCCCGCGTTCACTATATCCGGGCTCCCCGGACCCCGCGTTCACTATATCCGGGCTCCCCGGTAACCCCGCGTTCACTATATCCGGGCTCCCCGACCCCGCGTTCACTATATCCGGGCTCCCCGGACCCCGCGTTCACTATATCCGGGCTCCTGCCGGACCCCGCGTTTCACTATATCCGGGCTCCCCGGACCCCGCGATTTCACTATATCCGGGCTCCCCGGACCCCGCGTTCACTATATCCGGGCTCCCCGGACCCCGCGTTTACTATATCCGGGCTGCCCCAAGGACCCCGCGTTCACTATGGGATCCGGGCTCCCCGGACCCCGCGTTCACTATATCCGGGCTCCCCGGGACCCCGCGTTCACTATATCCGGGCTCCCCGGACCCCCGTTCACTATATCCGGGCTCCCCGGACCCCGCGTTCACTATATCCGGGCTCCCCGGACCCCGCGTTCACTATATCCGGGCTCCCCGGACCCCGCGTTCACTATATCCGGGCTCCCGGACCCCGCGTTCACTATATCCGGGCTCCCCGGCTTAAACCCGCGTTAGAATATATATATTTGAAGAACCTTAGACTGTCAGCCCCTTCCTCCTCACACTTAGTTTCACTTTCTTCTTGTGCAGATCTATTCCACTCCAAACAATCAGAAAAATATTGTTTCTATTCTATTCACTGAACTTCTTGAAACTTAGCAGTGAAGGGGTTGATTCTGTATTCAGAGGTTTGTAGAAGTTAGGATGAAGGGCTTTTTCTTAACTCTGTTCATGTTATAACATTTTTGCTGTGAAGAAGAGGCATGTGATCTCCGCTGAGTCAAATTCAGTTTTGAGAACTGCAAAAGTAAACCAAACATCTGTGATAATATCTTGTAGGCAGAGAAACTGCCCAATAATCTTACAAACACCTCTGGAAGAGCCTGACATTGTGAATGGATTCATGGGATTTATTTACCAAAAAAATTAAACATATACAGCCTTATTCTACATAATTAAAAAAAACTAATCTTTATTTCATGATGGAATAACCTTTGGATGGCAATATATTTTCCTCAAAAAGCATTTTATTTAAAAAAAAATCCGATTTAAATAAAAAAAAATCTGATTTTTTTTGATTTTTAAAAAAAAAATCATTGATTTTTATCCACCCTGGTCAGCCTACAAGAGTGTATGAGTGACAGGTCCTCTTTAGCAGCCATGCTGGCCGAGTCACAGCGGATAAACTGCCGAGAGACATCCCGTCCAGCCAACAAAACGTTTCCCATGGATCTTGGCTTCCCGCGGGCCGTCTGTGTTTTATCTGTGTGTGAAGATCTGCCCAGACAGCTTTTAGTCTATTATTAGTCTTTCTATAAAAACATTCTCTTGTGTTGTCTCATCTCACACCCTTGTCAGGCATATAAACAATATGGCGTATTTCCCCCCCCCCCTCTTTGATCTTACGTATGTATATTGGAGTCAGTTTTACAGTTGTAACCTAATATCCTCAGAAATGAGCGTATGATTTATTTACAACAACACAGCCTACGCAACAAAGAGCACCTGTCATAAGAGAATAAAGCAAACACTTTACTCCTGCACCAGGAATGGACTCGGCAGAGACAATGTGAATGTTCTGGAATATGCACTGCTTGCTGCCCTCAACAGACCGGGGTGGTCCAAAGTCACTAAATGCAAATGTAAAAAAAAAAACAAAGGGCGCACCGGCCTAGTGCATTATCGTTTAAAATATTTAGATTGTAAGCTCGAAAGAGCAGGGCCCTCGATCCCCTCGTGTATTGTATTGTATTGGTACTGTTCTGTCACATGTTCTGTCCCCCTTTGTAATGTACAGCGCTGAGTGAACTATTGGCGCTTTATAAATACTGTATAATAATAAAATAATAATAATTTATTGAAAGAATAAAGTAAGTTTCATACTCACGATGGACATATAAAACACAGGCATATCACAATGAGCAAGGTGTTCAATCCAAGCCTCAGGGCTCTGAGGAAGAGGCTGAGTCCTCGAAACGCGTCAGCCAGTTGGTCATCCCGGGTTCCATCGTATGGACTCGAATGCTATTTGGATTGAACACTTTTGTTCATTGTGATATGCCTGTGTTTTATATGTCCAGTGTGAGTATGATACTTACTTTTTTATTCTTTCAATAAATATTTTTAAACGATAATGCACTAGGCCGGTGCGCCCTCTTTTTGTTTCATTTGCAATAAGAGAATAAAGACTAGTACACACAATCAGAAAATCGTACCAAAAATTCTGCTTTCAAAGCGATCGTACGATAATCTGATCATTAACCATTTCCTGTCCGGCCCATGTATATAAATGGCCGGACGGGAGCAGTGCAGGAGTGGGTGGTCGTTTTTAAACATCCTTCCCGCTGCCTGCCCGTGTGCGCTCCCTGGGAGCGCGCAGCACTGCGATCCGGTGCCTGCTGTGTCCTCCAGACGCAGCGGAACGCTGATCGCTGTACGGGGACCTCTGTGTGAGGTCCCGATCATGTGATCACTGATTGGCCAATCAGTGATCACATGAATAGTAGTAAGCAAGATGTCACTTCTGACATCATTGCTTACTACCAGTGAAATCTGTGAATGATCACAGAGGTCATATGGTACAAGGCTATTCACAACAGCCTTGTAACATGTAACGATTTAAAAATAAAAATTGTGTTTCCATACTCTAGTAATAAGTAGAGACTGTAGAGTCTATAAATGAAGAGCCCCTTGACATTGGTGGTCATTAAAAGAAGAGCCCCTTTACACTGGTGATCAGTAAATGAAGAGCTCCTTTACTTTGGGGATCAATAAATAAAGAGCCCCTTTACTTTGGGAGTCAGTAAAAGAAGAGCCCCTTTACATTGAGAGGGGTCAGTAAAAGAGGAGTCCCTTTATGTTGGGGGGGGGGGTCAGAAAAAGAGGAGCCCCTTTACATTGGGGGGTCAGTAAAAGAAAAGCCCCTTTACATTGGGGGTCAGTAAATGAAGAGCCCCTTTACATGGGGGTCAGTAAATGAAGAGCCCCTTTACATTGGGGGTCAGTAAATGAAGAGCCCCTTTACATTGGGGGGTCAGTAAAAGAGGAGCCCCTTTACCTTGGGGGTCAATAAAAGAGGAGCTCCTTTTCCTTGGTGGGTCAGTAAAAGAGGAGCCCCTTTACCTTGGGGGGGAGGTCAGTAAAAGAACTCTTTTACATTGGGGGGTCAGTAAAAGAGGAGCCCCTTTACCTTGGGGGTCAGTAAAAGAGGAGCTCCTTTACCTTGGGGGGGGGGGCAGTAAAAGAGGAGCCCCTTTACATTGGGGGTCAGTAAAAGAGGAGCTCCTTTACCTTGGGGGGGGGGGGTCAGTAAAAGAGGAGCCCCTTTACCTTGGGGGGGGGGGGTCAGTAAAAGAGCTCCTTTGCATTGGGGGGTCAGTAAAAGAGGAGCACCATTACCTTGGGGTTCAGTAAAAGAGGAGCTCCTTTACCTTGGGGGGCTCAGTAAAAGAGGAGCCCCTTTACCTTGGGGGTCAGTAAAAGAGGAGCCCCTTTACCTTGGGGATCAGTAAAAGAGGAGCCCCTTTACATTGGGGGTCAGTAAAAGAGGAGCCCCTTTACCTTGGGGATCAGTAAAAGAGGAGCCCCTTTACATTGGGGGAGTCAGTGTAGAAGTGACCCCTTACTGTTGATGTTAGTGGAACATTCTGCCCCTATCATTTGGTGGTAGGTGCAAGCGGGATATCAATCATCTACTGTTCAAGGACCCCTTAGCAACCTGTAGAGAAATCCCTAGAGTTCCATAGAACCCTAGTAAGAGGCTCTGTAGATATAGGATAAATGTATTCAGTTTGTCACATGTGAAGCTAGATTAGTGTTGTTGGGCAAATCAATTTTATGTTTGCAAGTATGCTTTGGCTTTTTCCATTTTTAACTCTCCTTCTGAAAATTCAGAAGCTGCATGGGTTTGGTATTTCCGGACACTTCAGTCTCCCCCGATCTGAATTCTGTTCTATTACCATGAAACCCTAATTGTTCTCAGATGTAAAATGTTATGGTAACCGGTAAACTGCTGCATGTCCAGTCACTGTTTCTTGGGGACGGGTTATCAAGGTATTTTGAATTTTTGGACATTTCTCGTCATCGGACTTTATTCTGTGGTCTGGATCTGATGTGTTGCCTTCAGTATTCGGGACTCTGATTTGACTTGCTGGTGTCTCTCTCTGCAGGGGGGATACTTTCCTGAACACGTGAAGTCAATGTCCAGCCTGCGATGGCTGAAACTGAACAGGACCGGGCTCTGCTACCTACCTACCGGAGGAGCTCTCTTCCCTGCACAAGTTGGTAAGTCATCTCCATCACAGGAATCTTTTGTAAATGAAAGCCAGAAATGTTCACCTTCCAGATTCTCATGATTCAAGAATGATTGTGTGATTCTTTCCTGTTAAAGTGCTTCTGTCCTGTTAACAGGAAGAAAAAACTCATCTTCTTGACATCCATGCCCCCATTGGTGACTTGTCTCCACACTTCAGTATAGACACCCAGAAGCGGGTGGCAGGGGCTTTATTGGGCACAATATAAACAAAACCGTATTTTTATTAAAAAAAAAAACACTATTACAAAACTAAGAAAAAGCAGATAAAATTTAATTTTCAGGCCATCAAATCTGGATATACTGAGAATTTTAACCATTTTCCTTAACTTATGTGTAATAATAAGTTTTCAAAACCTCCCTATTTTAGAAGACATATAATGTAAATACAACCAGCAATTGCCTACCCAGAGCCCAATGCATTTCAAGACTTGCTCTTCTTCAGGGCAAACTCACTCGACACTAATGGCCATCAGATAGCCAATAGCAACTGGCCTGAAATCAGTCAGCTAAAAAACACAGTGATGCTGGTGGAGAGGTCCAGCCCATCATAGAGGAAATGGAGGGAAATGGAGGGAAGAAACCAGACTACCGAAGAGATCCCCATAGGAACACTTCAACTAGGTACATTGGGTCCATCCAGTGGCACGGCCAACCACCACCATCAGTCAGAGAGTGTAGTAGCTTCCTGCCCCAGAGACACAAGAGGAAGTGAGGGGGCAGGGGCGGACTGACCATTTGGAAACTCGGGCACTGCCCGAGGGCCTGGGGTCAGTAGGGGGCCCCATGAGATGCCCCTGGTACCTTTTTCATAGGCTTTTTTGAGTTTGGGCAAGGACACGGGGCCCCATGATCCCCTATTGCCCGGGGGCCCCCATGAGTTGTCAGTTCCCCCCTGGAGGGGACTCTTTACTTACACAGCGGTCACCAGAACAAAGGTCCCTGTTGGAAGATTTCCCATCACCTCTTGTTCTGTTGACAACTGTTAAGGCTGATTTATACTTACATCATCTTTAACGTGCATTAAAGTGCTTACTGCTTCAACGTGTTCTTTTGATGCTTCGGTGATGCTTTCTTTGAAGCTTGGCAGATACCCTGTGTGTGTTTATTTTTCTATTTGCTTTAAAGAGACCCAGTAGAAACCCGGCTAAATAGTAGCCCCCCCCCCCATTCAGAAGATCGCTAGCTCCTTGGGTAATGAATAAGCGCCGTCTTTAGCGTGAAACACGTTTACCTGCCAGCCCCCCACTGTACTTCCACTGTCTGTATTGGGTTTATCTTGGTTCAATAAAGTGGATTGTTTGGGGTGCAGCCGATCAGACATCCTTTTGTCCTCTCCTTAGTACCCCCCGGATCAGCATTGGTACCATCATTCAGCAGATCCCCAGCTTATTAGTCCCCTTGTTCAGCACACCCCTGCTCAGTAGTACCCTCATCTCTGTTGATACCCCACTCAGTAGTACCCCCTGTTGTTCTGATTCCCCACAAGTAGTAACCTGCAGCTCTACTGATGCCCCACTCAGTAGTATTCCACAGCTCTGCTGGTCCCCCCCACTCAGTAGTATTCCACAGCTCTGCTGGTCCCCCACTCAGTAGTATTCCACAGCTCTGCTGGTCCCCCACTCAGTAGTATTCCACAGCTCTGCTGATCTCCCACTCAGTAGTATTCCACAGCTCTGCTGGTCCCCCCCACTCAGTAGTACCCCTCCTTGCTGTGCTGATCCCCTGCTCAAGTAGTAACCTGCAACTCTACTGATACCCCATTCAGTAGTATTCCACACTCTGCTGGTCCCCCACTCAGTAGTATTTTACAGCTCTGCTAGTCCCCCACTCAGTAGTATTCCACAGCTCTGCTGATACCCCACTCAGTAGTATTCCACAGCTCTGCTGGTCCCCCACTCAGTAGTATTCCACAGCTCTGCTGGTCCCCCACTCGGTAGTATTCCACAGCTCTGCTGGTCCCCCACTCGGTAGTATTCCACAGCTCTGCTGATCCCCCACTCGGTAGTATTCCACAGCTCTGCTGGTCCCCCACTCGGTAGTATTCCGCAGCTCTGCTGATCCCCCCCACTCAGTAGTATTCCACAGCTCTGCTGATCCCCCACTCAGTAGTATTCCACAGCTTTGCTGATCCCCCACTCAGTAGTATTCCACAGCTTTGCTGATCCCCCACTCGTAGTATTCCACAGCTCTGCTGATCCCCCCACTCAGTAGTATTCCACAGCTCTGCTGATCCCCCCACTCAGTAGTATTCCACAGCTCTGCTGTCCCCCACTCAGTAGTATTCCACAGCTCTGCTGGTCCCCCACTCAGTAGTATTCCACAGCTCTGCTGGTCCCCCACTCAGTAGTATTCCACAGCTCTGCTGGTCCCCCACTCAGTAGTATTCCACAGCTCTGCTGGTCCCCCACTCAGTGGTATTCCACAGCTCTGCTTATTCCCAAATGTCAAACAATTTTTTGACTTGTGATTCTGTGCTTAAGAAGGCCTTCACCAAGTCCATGTGAAACAACAAATAGAGTGTGTGTGTGTGTGTGGGGGGGGGGGGGGTTCTGGATAGATCCACCTATGGAGGGATGGTTTTCTGTGCTGCAAGGGATATAATAGTCAGGAGTTGTTTGCAGCCTCTTGAGATCATAGTATGTGGGATGTCCATTAGGCCAAAAGGTGCCCATTCAGGGGTCAGAGGTAGGTAGTTTACTAAATGCATGTGGTATAGTGCACCACTAGTGCCAGAAATGTTTAACCCCAGGGCAAGACCAGAGGGCACGATGAAAATCTGCATCTGGATTATCACACTTTGGGCAGCAAGATGAGGAGCTTACACCCATAAGGACCGCTAGATCACTTTATTATCCTACAACATGGCACAAGCTGAAAATGTTCTATTATGTTTCAGAGGTACAGTGCAACATTGTTTAGTTTATATTCTGGTATATGTATTGGACCTAACTCTGCTACCTCTTGAACCGCGCCGTTCTATTTAGATCCCATTCAGCTCCCGAAACAGGATAGCGGAGGAAAAAAAACGATGAAAATGTAGGATCTCGGTACAACGTCTGACTGCATATCTGTTCCTGTGACAAGTGGGCTTTAACGGAGTTGACTGATATTTTGTAATTTTGTTTTCTCTCCCTCTTTCAGGAGCACCTATCAGTGAGTCACAACAACCTAACCACGCTACATGGCGAGCTGTCTTCTCTCCCCTGCCTAAGGGTGAGTATACCTAACCGTGTGTGGGGGGCAGAGCGACTCGGGTCTGCTCTTCTCCAGAGCAAAGTATCAAGGCCTCGTAAAGGAAAGACAAATAGTCATTTTTTTTACATTAAAGTGGTTGTAAACCCTTCCATATACCCAGTGCAGTGACTGACCTCAGGTGATACACAGAGATGAAACAAATCCTCCTACATAAGTTGTACCTGTTTATCTGTAGTACTCCTCTACATCCATTCAAATTCCAGAATTTATAAAGCTTGTCTGAGCTGTCAGAAAACGGGGCAGAGAGCTAAAATTACACGCTGCAGAGATCAGTGGGGAGAGCTCCGAGAGCTAATTGGAGGGAAAGAACACATACACACACACTCTCTCCCTCCCTCCTCTCCTCTCCTCTCTCTCCCTCCCTCTCTCTCCTTCCCTCCCTCCCTCCTTCCCTCCCTCTCCCCTCTCCCTACCACCCTCCTCTCTCTCTCCCTCTCTCTTTCTCCTCCTCCCTCTCACCTCTCTCTCTCTCTCCCTCCCTCCCCTCCCTCCTCTCCCTCTCTCTCCTTCTCTCTCTCCCTCCCTCCCTCCCTCTCTCCTCTCTCTCCCTCCCTCCCTCCCTCTCCTTCTCCCTCTCCCTCCCTCCCTCCCTCTCTCTCCCTCCCTCTCTCTCACAGCTCAGTGGTATCAGTCTGCATGATGCTTTGACCACTAGACTACTGCAGGATGTAAAGGAATGTTCTCAGGAACACTCCCCGTGGCATGAGAACAATAGTCTACATTTCTGTTGTGAACTAGGAACACGCACCTCAGTGCGCTGCTAGTTCTGTCACTTCCCCAATTACCCCCAACACACTCACTGTCTATCTCTCTCCCCCTCCCTCCCCCTCCCGACCCTACCCTCTCTCCCCCCTCCCCCCTCCTCCTCCTCTCCCCCCCCCCCCCCCCCTCTCCCTCCCCTCCCCCCTCTCTCCCCCCTCTCCCCCCCTCCCCCCTCTCTCCCCCCTCTCCCCCCCTCTCTCTCCCCCTCTCCCCCCCCCCTCTCTCCCCCCTCCCCCTCTCTCCCCCTCTCCCCCCCTCCCCCCCCCTCTCTCCCCCCCACTCCCCCCCCACTCTCTCTCTCTCTCTCCCCCCTCACTCCTCCCCCTCACTCTCTCCCCCTCACTCTCTCCCCCCCTCACTCTCTCCCCTCACTCTCTCCCCCTCACTCTCCCCCTCACTCTCCCCCCCCTCTCTCCCCCCTCACTCTCCCCCCTCTCCCTCACTCTCCCCCCTCTCTCGTGTCACGAAAACTTGTCAGAAGTGACTCTTGCAAATAGCAGAGGAATGAGGCAGCAGGCAGAAATGACACTTAGTGTTCTCGATTGAGACAAGTACACACATAGAGGGATATGCTTTTGTTCATATTTCATGTCTGAGGTTTACAACCACTTGATTTTTCTTAAACCAATACCTCTTTATACCACTTTATTTTATTATAAATCAAACCCTGATGAAAGTTGAGGTATTGAGTAAAGATATACATTGGGGTATTGGCAAAATATGTTAGCCTGCTGCTGTGTGTACATTCTCTCTGCGTGAATTGAGGAAAAAACAAATGTTATTAGGCTGTTTTCTCTCCAGGTAAATGAGGTTCTTCATACAGAGTGGACTGATTTAGGAAAATTCTGTGTTTTAGCCGCTAGATGGCACTGCTGATTATAGTGAATGAGGTCTCCTTCACATGGGGAGTACTGTAGCGTGTGCCTGTGCGAGAGCCATGTTTACTGCATAGGAATGCACAGGTATTCCATGCACCACTGCAGTGCCGGATTTATAATGGGGGGGGGGGGGGGGGGGCAAAGGGGACAACTGCCCTGGGCCCCCAGACAGAGGTGGCCCCACTCTATACAAAAATCATATAAAACAATATAAAATAAAAAACCGTAATGTATAATAAAAATTATTTTTTTATTAAATGTAACTTGGGAAGTAATATTTTGCCAGTCATCATCTGTAAACGTTTTTAACCCCCGGTCTGGTATAAACAGATTTTGGCAGCTCACATGAACCACACGTAGTGTGCTCAAGGAAGGTAGTATGTGTGTGTGACCTCAGAATTAAGTTGTGTCATGCATTTTGAAAATGTGTGACTGTCATTGAGAATGTAAACCAACTCTGTGAATGGGGTGCCTCCCAAACCTGAAGTGCCCCGGGTTCCCCAAGGTCCAAATCTGTCCCTACATCTCTGTGGAGGTCGTCCCATTCATGTAATTTGGGACGCAATGGCTGCTCTGATGACACAGACGCTGCTTCCAATTAGATATCCATGTGGGTGCACGGCCCCAGGCGCAGACAGTGTGAACAAGGTGTTTATTTCCTATAGGCATCAACTCCATCTAGTGGCCGTGATGTGGAATATTCCTGATACACTCTGTTCTGTACGAATGAATAACATTTAACCTGGAGAGAAAATAGCCTAATATTTGTTTTTGCACAGAACAAACAGCTCGGTAATACTTTAACAACTACACCCCGTAGAGAAGTGACAGTTGTCCCTCAATCCAGCCATTTATGGTGTATGGACAGCCTGTTACTTCTGCAGGCACCTCTGAGCCAACCAATCACCAGGACTGCTTTTCTTGGCTATATGGTATTCTTGCCTGCTTCTGGCACGCTCATCTGATCTGTGCATGAACATTTATTTATTTATTTCAGGTACTTGCATCAATTTACGTAGCGCCTTACATATATATTGTATATTCACATCAGTCCCTAACCCTCAAGGGGCATACAATCTAAGGTCCCTAACCCTCAAGGGGCGTACAATCTAAGGTCCCTAACCCTCAAGGGGCGTACAATCTAAGGTCCCTAACCCTCAAGGGGTGTACAATCTAAGGTCCCTAACCCTCAAGGGGTGTACAATCTAAGGTCCCTAACCATCAAGGGGCGTACAATCTAAGGTTCCTAACTTGCTAACTTCCATACATACACATACTAGGGCCAATATAGACAGGATCTAATTAACCTACCAGCATGTCTTTGGAGTGTGGGAGGAAACCGGAGTACCCGGAGGAAACCCACGCAGGCACAGGGAGAACATGCAAACTCCAGGCAGGTGGTGCTGTGGTTGGGATTCGAACCAACGACCCTAGTGCTGCCAGGTGGAAGTGCTGACCATTTAGCCACTGTGCTGCCCAACATTGACACAATAGTCACACTAACTCAACATTTTCAGCTGTTCCTCAAGTTAGAGTGGGATCTGTATATGCTTCCATCAGCTAAAATTGGTGCCAAGCCAGATAGAGCCGAGCACCCTTTAACCCGTCCAATGCTGGAGAGCAATCGCTGATCTGTCTAGACAGTTGTTGTGTGTTGTTACAGCTGCAGGGAATTGTTATTTCTGTCTTTGCTCTGTGACATTTAGGGACGGGTGATGGGACCTGTTACACCGGGTGATGGGACCTGTTACACTGATCACTCCATTGTGGCTAAATGAAGCGACCAGCGTCCCTTTCATCAAAAAAGGGGAGAATTGTCTGTCTCCCACTTCAATCATTCCGGATCCAGGATATGTATTTAGACAGTTAGGCTACGTTCACACTAGCCTTGTGTGCAGGCGGCAGAGAGGCGTTTGGGAAGCGTTTTTACCGCTTCCCAAACGCCTCTGCCAATTCTGCACATTACAGCACATGGTGCTGTTCTAACGGGAGCGTTTGCGTCGCGGCAAAACGGACGCCTCTGGACGAGTCAGGAGGCTTTGAAGCCTCCTATTCTCGTCTATGGTGCCGCTCCGCAAACGCCCGGCCGGCGTTTGCGGTGCGGTTGCGACGCGGTTGCGGGGTGTTTGCGGAGCGGTAACACCACTCAAATGCATTATAGGCGTTTGTGGGGCGTTATTAACGCTCGGCAAACGCCTAGCAACCTCCGCTAAACCGCGCATGCGGCCTTTGCGGAGCGTTTGCCGAGCGTTAATAACGCTCCGCAAACGCCGGACCAACGCTTGCCAAAAGCTATAGGGGCGTTTGGCAAGCGTTGGCAAAACAGCCTAGTGTGAACGAGCCCTAACTGATGAATTTGTACAGATGGGTTTGTAAGCTTTTATATTGTGGATTATGTTTTTTAAAAGGTGTTTATTTTGCATTTATAAAACACAAACAACAAGAGAACAAGAAAAAGACAAATAATAACAGGAACTCAAAACTAAAATAAAAAAGTAAAGATACAGAAAAGGGGATCAAAAAAAACAAACAACAAATGATTGCAGATCGGAATCCCATACATATAACAAGAGAGAATCACAGAACAGAAGCAGTCAGAAACATACAAACACACAGCCAAACACATACAACAGTCACAAACAAACAAAAACACCCACACCATCAACTCCCTTACAAGTCAGAGGAAATCATTAGCATGTAAAATCCAACCACTCAAACCATAGAACCCTGTGACAATGGTTGTGACAAGACAGCATCTCCCCAAAAAGAGTCCTCTATATCCAGCCAAGGCTGCCAGATTTTCGTACATTTTTTCGGGGCAGGCCGGTCCTTTTATACATGTCCCATAGGAAATCATGTTAAATGGACTGTACTGCGCGTTTCTGCAAAACGCTGCAGAAAACGCTTAGGTGTGAACCTGGGGTGAATCTACTGCTCCTGTTCCAGCCACCATGGATCACATTTTAGAGGGTTCAGTTGGACAGAGCGGAGTGGGAATGAATGGAAGGTGTCAATACTGTGTGTTGCTAAATGAATGTCAACCTTATTTATTTATTTCAGGTACTTATATAGCGCCATCAATTTACACAGCGCTTTACATATATATTTACATTCACATCAGTCCCTAACCCTCAAGGGGTGTCCAATCTATGGTCCCTAACTCACATTCATACATACACATATTAGGGACAATTTACACAGGAGCCAATTAACCTTCCAGCATCTCTTTGGAGTGTGGAGGAAACCGGAGTACCCGGAGGAAACCCACGCAGGCACAGGGAGAACATGCAAACTCCAGGCAGGAGGTGCCATGGCTGGGATTCGAACCAACGACCCGAGTACTGCCAGGCGGAAGTGCTAACCATTTAGCCACTGTGCTGCCCGACCTTGTTGCTTTGCTCTGTGTGAAATGAACCGGTTTATCTGAGGCCATGTTCTTTCTGCAGTCAGTCTTATTTCTGAGTTTTTCTGCCCCCTTCTTGTCCCCAGGCTATCGTAGCTCGAGCCAACAATTTGAAAAATTCGGGGATCCCTGATGACATCTTCCAGCTGGATGAATTGTCAGTACTGGTACGTACCCCAGCATACTGAGGGGTTATCGTTCTGTATATATGTTGTTTGATGATGATAATTATATTTATATCACGCCAACAGTTTACACAGTTCTTTACATACACTTATCAGTCCCTGCCCTCGAGGGGCGTACAATCTCACATTCATTCATGCACATGGTGCCGTGGCTAGGATTCGAACCAACAACCCTAGTACTGCCAGGCGGAAGTGCTAACCATTTAGCCACTGTGCTGCCCTTTTATATTTTTTTAGGTACTTATATAACGCCAATCAATTTACGCAGCGCTTTACATATATATTGTACATTCACACCAGTCCCTAACCCTCAAGGGGTGTACAATCTAAGGTCCCTAACCCTCAAGGGGCGTACAATCTAAGGTCCCTAACCCTGAAGGGGCGTACAGTCTAAGGTCCCTAACCCTCAAGGGGCGTACAATCTAAGGTCCCTAACCCTGAAGGGGCGTACAATCTAAGGTCCCTAACCCTGAAGGGGCGTACAATCTAAGATCCCTAACCCTCAAGGGGTGTACAGTCTAAGGTCCCTAACCCTCAAGGGGTGTACAATCTAAGGTCCCTAACCCTCAAGGGGTGTACAATCTAAGGTCCCTAACCCTCAAGGGGCGTACAATCTAAGGTCCCTAACCCCTCAAGGGGTGTACAATCTAAGGTCCCTAACCCTCAAGGGGCGTACAATCTAAGGTCCCCTAACCCTCAAGGGGCGTACAATATAAAGGTCCCTAACCCTCAAGGGGTGTACAATCTAAGGTCCCTAACCCTCAAGGGGGTGTACAATCTAAGGTCCCTAACCCTCAAGGGGTGTACAATCTAAGGTCCCTAACCCTCAAGGGGCGTACAATCTAAGGTCCCTAACCCTCAAGGGGTGTACAATCTAAGGTCCCTAACTCACATTCATACATACACATACTAGGGACAATTTAGACAGGATCCAATTAACCTACCAGCATGTTTTGTGAAATGTGGGAGAAAACTGGAGGAAACCCATGCAAGCACAGGGAGAACATGCAAACTCCATGCACGTAGTGCCATGACTGGGATATTAATCACGACCTCTAGCACGGCAAGAAAAAAAAAAAGCCTCCCAGATAAAAATAATAATAGGGGGTATTGTCTCAACACACTAGTATAAGTGCTCCTAATAAAAATGAAAGGTCCACTATTTCACTACTTTCATAGTGTCATTCTCAGCAGGTTTAACCACTTGCTGTCCACCTGCTGTTTATAAACGGCAGGGCGGTGGCACTCCAGGGGTGGGTTGCTGTTCATAAACGGCACCCGCCTTTTCTAGCTGTGCGCGCTCCCTGGGGGAGCGCGCAGCACCGCAATCCGGTGCCCGCTGTGTCCTCCGGACACAGTGGAACACCAATCGTCGGACGGGACCTCTGTACGAGGTCCCGATCATGTGATGACTGATTGGCCAATCAGTGATCACATGCAAAGTAGTAAGCAAGATGTCACTTGTGACATCATTGCTTACTACTTGTGAAATCTGTGAATGATCACAGAGGTCACATGGTACAAGGCTATTCACAAACAGCCTTGTACCATGTGACAAGCTGTGACAATCACAGCTCACTCAGTACTACTTCTCAATGACTGCAAGAATGCAGACAGAGAGAAAGAGAAATGATTGCTTTTACATCCTATATGAGTTGTAAAAAAAAAAAAAAAAAAAAAAATCTTCATCACCCCCCACAAGTAGTACAGTGTCCATGGTGACACTGTACTGCTAGGGTGACAGTATATAAAAAAAATAAAATAAAAATGTAAAACAAAATGTGTAAAAATTATAATTTTTGGTTATAAACTAATTTGGATTTTTTTTTTTTTACTAAAAAAGTAACGGAATAAATTTTGGCCAAGGTTTATGATGAAATGTTATTTATTTGCAAAATTTTATTTAAAAAAAACACCTTTTTTCAAAATTTTTGGACATTTTCATTTACATAGCAAAAAAAATAAAAATCCCAGTGGTGAATAAATACCACCAAAAAAAAAGCTTTATATGTCTCAAAAAAATGGTAAAAAATTCATATGGGTACAGTGTTGCATGACCGCGCAAATTGTCATTCAAAGTGTCATAGCGCTGAAAGCTGAAAATTGCCCTGGTCAGGAAGGGGGTAAAGAGTCCGGACAGGAAGTGGTTAACATTACTATTTTAAACTACAATATAATCTATAAATATTTTTTGGAGCTGAGCAGAATTTTTTAATTTAATTTTTAAGACTCCTAAATTAAAAAGTGTGTTCATTTTTGAAGGATTGTTGTTGTTTGTTTGTTTTTTGTATGTGTCCTATTGTGATTTTTTTGCCTTTACATTTGCCCTGTTCCACAGACAGCCTTAAAAGCCTGACAAGGATTCTGATTTTTCCTCATTTTATCACAACAAAAAATGATCTTTGTGGTATACTGTGTTGTCTTTGCAGCATAGCTTTTTAACAGGATTATGCCTCTTAGGCTAGTTTACGCAAACATTGGTCCTCTGAAGTGTGATCGGCTGTGGATCCTTCTTTTACAGGCAGTGATGAGACATGTCGCCTCCCCAGCACCTGATTTCACCCTAAAAGCCTGAACAACAACTGTGTGCATTGCATGCGGGTCGCGGGGCAGTAGTGGTGTGTCCCCATTCAGCTGGATATGTTGCATTTGGTCGAGTATGACAACAGGACAATTTTAGCCTTGCTGTGATGCAAAGTATTACAGCCGTGGCATTTTTGCGCCTCCATCGGCTGTCTTTGCAGCAAATGGCCTCTGTACACTCTCCTGCAGACCGCTGACCCTATTCTCTACCCTGATGGTTATCCATCTTCTGTGTAAATATAAGTTGGGGTGTGTTGAGTGCATTTGGTTTCTCTTGCAGGATCTCAGCTATAATCAGTTGGCAGAGTGTCCTAGAGAGCTGGAGAACGCCAGAAACATGCTAGTTCTTAACCTCAGCCACAACAGGTGAGAGGTCAGAGGTCAGAGGCCGCCGTACTGTAGTATGAATACTTTTTAATGTCTTTCTGTTCTTTTTATGTTCCCAGCATTGACAACATCCCCAACCAGCTGTTCATAAATCTGACGACCTGCTGTACCTGGACCTGAGCGACAACAAATTGGACAGTTTGCCCCCCAGATGAGGAGGCTGGTGCACCTGCAGACCCTCATCCTGAATAATAACCCCCTGATGCATGCCCAGCTCAGGTTAGACCGACCTACCATACATGTCAGGAGGATGGATTAATGCTGATGGGATTTTATCTTAATAATGCATTCCTTTACCTTTTAACAGGCAGCTTCCTGCAATGGTCGCCCTCCAGACTCTGCATCTAAGGAACACACAGCGAATCCAGAGCAACCTGCCTACGTCCCTAGAAGGCCTGGCTAGTCTATCAGGTACAGAACTGCAAGGGCAGAATTTTATGTACCGTATTTTTCGCTCCATAAGACGCACCTGACCATAAGACGCACCTAGGTTTTAGAGGCAGAAAACAGGAAAAAAAAATTCTGAACTAATGGACTGCAGACATAGTACAGGAGATGACCAGGGACTGCGGACACAGTACAGGAGATGACCAGAGACTGCGGACACAGTACAGGAGATGACCAGAGACTGCGGACACAGTACAGGAGATGACCAGAGACTGCGGACACGGTACAGGAGAGATGACCAGAGACTGTGGACACGGTACAGGAGATGACCAGAGACTGTGGACACGGTACAGGAGATGACCAGAGACTGTGGACACGGTACAGGAGATGACCAGAGACTGTGGACACGGTACAGGAGATGACCAGAGACTGTGGACACGGTACAGGAGATGACCAGAGACTGTGGACACGGTACAGGAGATGACCAGAGACTGCGGACACGGTACAGGAGATGACCAGAACTGCGGACACGGTACAGGAGATGACCAGAGACTGCGGACACGTACAGGAGATGACCAGAGACTGCGGACACGGTACAGGAGATGACCAGAGACTGCGGACACGGTACAGGAGATGACCAGAGACTGCGGACACGGTACAGGAGATGACCAGAGACTGCGGACACGGTACAGGAGATGACCAGAGACTGCGGACACGGTACAGGAGATGACCAGAGACTGCGGACACGGTACAGGAGATGACCAGCAGAGACTGCGGACACGGTAACAGGAGATGACCAGAGACTGCGGACACGGTACAGGAGATGACCAGAGACTGTGGACAGTACAGGGATGACCAGAGACTGCGGACACAGTACAGGGGATGACCAGAGACTGCGGACACAGTACAGGAGATGACCAGAGACTGCGGACACAGTACAAGAGATGACCAGAGACTGTGGACACAGTACAGGAGATAACCAGAGACTGTGGACAGTACAGGGATGACCAGAGACTGTGGACAGTACAGGGGATGACCAGAGACTGCGGACAGTGCAGGGGATGATCAGAGTCTGCGGACAGTGCAGGGGATGACCAGAGACTGTGGACAGTACAGGAGATGACCAGAGACTGTGGACAGTGCAGGGGATGATCAGAGTCTGCGGACAGTGCAGGAGATGACTAAGAGAATGCAGACCTTTGGGGAGGGAGGGGGAGCGGGTACCTGAATTTGACAGGTACCCGTTCCCACTTCCATGGAGTTGTCCTCCCTTTAGTGTGGGCACCCGGCTGTCAGCCGGGTGCCCACTGCACATGCGCGAGAAGCGCTGCGCTTTGTGATTGGTCCGGCGTCTTCTGGACCTGTCATGTGTCCCAGAAGACGCCATACTATCACAAAGCGCAGCGCTTCTCGTTCATATGCACTGGGCACCCGGCTGTCACAGGCGGGTGCCGACACTAAAGATGAGGACGCTGGAAGCCTTCGCAGCACTGGACCGAGGAACAGGTAAGGTCCCGCTGCAGAGACGAGCGGCCGGTCCGGTGTTCTGACACGGCGGTGGAAATACCTGACCGGCCGCTCCATATTTGTTCCATAAGTTGCACTGACATTTTCCCCCCTTTTTTGGGGGAAAAAAGTGCGTCTTATGGAGTGAAAAATACGGTAGTTACGGATGTTTGATTTCTACACTTAATGATAAAGGAATCACATTTTCAATTCTTTTATAATCTTCCATATGCAGTATTCTCTGATATTGTTAGAAGCCAGAAACTGTTAAAATTTAGGTGGAATTTGACACCCGAAAGAAAAGCGCAGAAGAGAGAGAGTTTGCTGACACGTTTGTTCACAGGCCTTGGCTGTGTGTTGATGACATCAGTTTATTGTCCGTTTCAAACGCCTTTTGAAATCATTCAGAATTCACTGAGAGGTGCATTTGACCTGCAGTGGATATCCTGCGTTTGACCTGCTTCAATCTGATTTGCATTCCCACATACTTGACACCGAGAATGCAAAATTGATGTAAACAAAGGCCCATTGACACAGTTTTCACAGCTAATTTGCATGCTTGATTTCATGTTTGTTTTCCCCTCCCTACCAGATGTGGATCTGTCAATGAATGACCTGAGTCGGGTTCCTGAGTGCCTGTACACAATTGCCAACTTGAAGCGCTTGAACCTGAGCAGCAATCAGATCGATGAACTGTCCCTGTGTATCGACCAATGGACTCAGCTGGAGACCCTCAACTTGTCCCGCAATCAGCTGACCTCACTGCCAGTATGTAACCCTGTGTTCAGGGTGCAACATGTTACTGTTGCAGCAGCCCCCACATCCCGGGCTGCTGTTAGAAACCATGGGGCCCTGTACAGCCAATCTGACAGCCCCCCCCCCCCCCCCCCCCCCCCCCTCCAAATAAACACAGTTTACTATACTCCAGTTATGAATGAACATAGTGAATCATTGGTACCCGATCACTCACTGTGTTCATTCAGGAAAAGAAGGGGCTGGTAAATGTGACATATTTCCCGGACCCTTCCCCCCTCTCCATCCTGAAAGATCCTATTGTGTGCTTGCAGCTGCCAGTGAGAGGGAAGCCGGCAGCACTGTGGGGGCAAACAGAGGGACCTGGACAGTAGGGGGAAACGTATGGTGCACAGGGAGGATGATGGGTGCGGCGGGGGTATTACTAGAACCAATCCCCTGTATGTCTGTCTTTGCAGCAGCTGAGACCTGGTAGGAGGGAGAGGAGAAGCCAGCTTTAGCTGCTGCAGAGAGAGCCATACAGGGGATCAGTTCCAGTAATTGTCCTCCCCGCCCTGCCGATGACCCTGCCTTCTCACAACTGATTCACCCAGCTGTCTGGGCCCCCCTGCTGACCTGGGCCCCGTACAGGAGGACTGGTGGTATCCCATTATCCACGGCTCTGTCCACACCGCCCCCCCGGTCCCCTGTTAGGACAACGCCCCGAGGATCCTCTCCCCGCTGTCACAATATGAAGAAAAGAAAAAAAAAGAGGCAGTGCGGGACTCCCACCCAGCAACGTCATTCATTTGCAGCTGACTACTTTTAGTCCTTAGTAAACTACCATGGCGCTGTTGACCTCTCTGTGTCCCGCCCACCTCTCCCACCTCACTGGCTATCATTGACAGCAGTGAAAACCAATGAGGAGGGAGAGACCCGGGAGAGCAGCTGCTCTCATGCACAACGCTGGATGGATCGGTGGTATCCCCTTATCCACGGCTCTGCCCCCACACCACCCCCCGATCCCCTGTTAGGACAACGGGCCGAGGATCCCTCCCCGCTGTCACAATATGAAGAAAAGAAAAAAAAAGAGGCAGTGCGGGACTCCCACCCAGCAACGTCATTCATTTGCGGCTGACTACTTTTAGTCCTTAGTAAACTATCATGGCGCTGTTGAGCGCTCTAGGTAGTTCATTGATGCTTCAAGTCATTCAGTAACTGCCTGCCTATATGATATACGAGCAGACAGATACACCGACAGTCTGCAGGAGCCTGAGACTGCACCAGCGATTTGATGATCAAAGGTGAAATGTTTTTCAGGCCCCTAATATTGCTACGAGGGAGAGGTTTTTTTATTTTTTTTGTTTTTTTTCTTCGCAGATCCTAGTGAGTATTTTTGGATTAATATTGTTTTTTTTTTATGTACACTGCCTGTGGATGTGAATGCCAAGTAGGGAGCCAGGTGCTGGGACAATACAACTCCAGTGTGCATGTGTAGGAGTTAAATCATCAGTGGCCACCCAATAGCAAATTCAGAAGACGACCGACAAAAGATATCCAGACAGTGGAGGTGGGGAGTGCGGAAATTGTATTGCTGGAGGAGCACACAATGGGAGGCTGGGGGGGGGGCATAGTGTGCAAGTATGCACATGGCCATGCAGTTGAGTTTTTTTTATGTGTTAAAGCAAACACTGTGGTATGAATGAGCATTAAATGCTGAATTTTCATGTTCTGTTGTTGGCCACTGAAGTGGAAAGCTTGTACTGCTTTAGTTTGTTGTGTGCTTATTCTCTGCCTGTGTTCTGCTTCCAGTCTGCTGTTTGCAAGATGTCCAAGCTGAAGAAGCTTTACCTGAACTCCAACAAGCTCGACTTTGATGGCATCCCTTCAGGAATAGGCAAACTCGGCAACCTAGAGGAGTTTATGGCTTCTAACAATAACCTGGAACTGATCCCAGAAAGCCTGTGCAGGTAAGGAGGATGCCAGGGTGTCATGGCACCCGGATTATACACTATAGAGGAGGCTTCTGAAGGTCATGTGGTCCATGGGTTTGATGGTATTTAGAATACATAGGTTGGCATAGGCAGTGTTCTAGTTTGTAGTGTTTGGAAGCAACTTGAAGAGTAGGGTGGTTAGGCTTGAGCATTAGCTGGGTTTATAGTGCATCGTTCACCCCTGGGTGTGTAGGTGGGGGTCTTGCAGTGGGTGGTCGAGGCCATCTTGGCTTTGGGCGCTGGCAGCAGTATCCCTTCTTTTATGGTGGCTCTCAATCATTTTTTTTTTATACTAGTAAAATTTTATTCCTTGTTTCCAGATGTGGCAAATTGCGCAAGTTGGTCCTAAATAAAAATCGCCTGGTGACCCTGCCAGAAACAGTCCACTTCCTGCCAGACTTAGAGGTGAGTGTCACACTGATGTACTGGCAGGCCTTTTTGTTCTCCTGCTTTGTAACATGGCATATTTTTCATTTCAAAGGAAACTAAAGGTTCCTTTTTTTTTTTTTTTTTTTTTTACAAAATCTCAAACTTTCCATACTTACCTGCTCTGTGCAATGGTTTTACACAGAACAGGCCTGATCTTCCTCTTCTCAGGTCCCCTGCAGGCACTTCTGGCTCCTCTCCATGCTGAGTCGTTCATCCCCCCCCTTCCCCCAGAGCAAGCTGCTTGCTCCAGAGTCACCTCTCTGTGTCCCGCCCACCTCTCTCCCCCACCTCTGGCTATCATTGACAGCAGTGAAAACCAATGAGGAGGGAGAGACCCGGGAGAGCAGCTGCTCTCATGCACAACGCTGGATGGATCAAGATTGGGCTCAGGTAAGTATTAGAGGGGCTGAGCGGGGAGCTGCACACTGACAGCGTTTTAGGATAATCCATGTATTCCTATGGACCAGGACTTGTGTCCATTTACACCCACCTACCTATTCGTCTAGGCGGATTGGATCAGGGGCAGTTGGGTGTAAACGGACAGCCAATCTGTTTACACCTAAAAAAATAGCAGCTAGAACACTAAAAAGGGAAACCGTGAAACCTTCTATAAAACCATATAGACATGTAGTGCAGCACTAAATCTGTTTACACCTGATTGCCTGCAGAGCGGGCTGTGTCCGTGTCTGCTCTGCATATATGGAGCGGACCCAGAGAGCCTCCCAGAGAGGCTTTTTTGCATATCATTGACGGTACATTACCCCAGGGGGTTCACTTCATGTACTGGGTACTTCTGTGAGGTCACTTTGTGTGCTGCCGTAACTACTGGTCCTGTGCGCTCTCCTCCCCCCCCTCCCCCCCCCCTCCCCCCCCTTCCTTCTCTTTCCCCCCCTTTCTCTCCCCCCTCCCCCCCCCTCCCCCCCTTCTCTCCCCCCCCTTCTCTCCCCCCCCCTCCCCCCCTCCCCCCCTTCTCTTTCCCCCCCCTCCCCCCTTCTCTTTCCCCCCTCCCCCCCTTCTCTCTCCCCCCCTCTCCCCCTTCTCTCTCCCCCCCCTCTCTCCCCTTCTCTCTCCCCCCCTCCCCTCTTCTCTCTCCCCCCCCTCTCCCCCTTCTCTCTCTCCCCACCCCCCCCCCTCTCCCCCTTCTCTCTCTCCCCCCCCCCTCCCCCCTTCCCCTCTTTCTCTCTCCCCCCTCTCCCCCTTCTCTCTCCCCCTCTCTCCCCCTTCTCTCTCTCCCCCCCCTCTCCCCCTTCTCTCTCCCCCCTCCCCCCTCCCCCCCCCCCTTCTCTTCTCTTCCCCCTCCCCCCTTCTCTCTCCCCCTTCCCCCCTTCTCTCTCCTCCCCCCTTCTCCCCCCTTCTCTCTCCCCCCCTCCCTTCTCTCTCTCCCCCCTTCTCTCTCTTCTCTCTCTCTCCCCCCCTTCTCTCTCTCCCCCCCTTCTCTCTCCCCCCCCCCTTCTCTCTCTCCCCCCCCTTCTCTCTCTCCCCCCCTTCTCTCTCTCCCCCCTTTCCCTCTCCCCCCCCTTTCTCTCCCCCCCCCCTTCTCTCTCCCCCCCTTTCTCTCTCTATCCACCCTCTCTCTCTCTCCTCCTTCTCTCTCTATCCACCCCCTCTCCCCCCCCCTCCCCCCCCTTCTCTGCCCCCCCTTCTCCCGCCCCCTCTCTCCCCCCCCCCCCCCCCTCTCTCTCTCGCTCTCCTCCTCCCCCTTCTCTCTCGCTCCCCCCCCCCTTCTCTCTCTCGCTCCCCCCTTCTCTCTCTCTCTCTCCTCTCTCCCCCTCTCTCCCCCACTCCACCCTTCACTCCCCCCATCTCTCTCTCTCGCTCTCCCCCCTTCTCTCTCCCCCCTCCCCTCTTCGCTCTCCCCCCCCTTCTCTCCCCCCCTCTCTCTCCCCTCCCCCCCATCTCTCCCCCCCCCCATCTCCCTCCCTCCCCCCCATCTCTCCCTCTCACCCCCTCTCCCCCTCTCCCCCCCTCTCTCCTCTCCCTCTCCCCCCTTCTCTCTCCCCCTTCTTTCTCCTCCCTCTCTCTCTCTCTCTCTCCTCCCTCCTCTCTCTCTCCTCCCTTCTCTCTCTCCTCCTTCTCTCTCTCCTCCCTTCTCCCCCCCTTCTTTCTCTCTCCCCCCTCCCTCCCCCCCCTTCTCCCCCCCCTTTCTTTCTCTCTTCCCCCTTCTTCACCCCCCCTTTCTTCTCCCCCCCTTCTTTTCTCCCCCCCCCTTCTTTTCTCCCCCCCCTTCTTTCTCTCCCCCCCCCTTCTTCTCTCTCCCCCCCCCCTTCTTTTCTCCCCCCCTTCTTTCTCTCCCCCCCCCTTCTTTCTCCCCCCCCCCCTTCTTTCTCCCCCCCTTCTTCCTCCTCCCCCCCCCCCCCCCTTCTTCCTCTCTCCCTCTCCCCCCTTTCTTTCTCCCCCCTTCTTTCTCTCTCCCCCCCCTTCTTTCTCCCCCCTTCTTTCTTTCTCTCTCTCTCTCTCCCCCCTTCTCTCTCTCTCTCTCTCTCCCCCTTCTCTCTCTCTCTCTCTCCCTCTCCTCCCCCTCTCCCCCCCCTCTTTTTCACCCTATACCTCTCTCCCCTCCCTATCTTTTCTTTTTATTCTTGCTTCTCTCACCCACCCCCCCCCCCCCCTCTTTTCTCTCTCTCTTCCCCTCCTTTTTTCTCCCCCTCCCAATTATTTACCTGTTACCAAATAAAAGTGAATATAACACCAGTTGTCTCTGCTGTTTTTAATCTTCCTTTATAGGTCCTCGATGTAAGAGAGAATCCAAGTCTGGTGATGCCCCCCAAACCAGCTGACCGCACGTCTGAGTACTACAACATCGATTTTTCTCTGCAAAACCAGCTGCGCCTGGCAGGAGCCTCTCCAGCCACTGTTGCAGCTGCTGCAGCCGCTGGGGGTAAGTTGAGTGAAATGTAAAAATAGCCAAATCTATTTGTAACTTTTAATCTCCACAAGAACTTTCTTTGCTCAGGCCGGTTCAGTTAGTTAACCCCTTGACGATGTTCGTACGCAAATTAGTGGCCTTACAGAACTGTGGGGCCGCTAATTCGCGTACCTGTCTTTGTGCTAGGAGCGCTCCGCAGCACAAAGACCGAGGTGTCACTGAGAGCCTTGGTTCCTGTTCTAACAATCGGGACCTGGAACTCCCAATTCCAGGTCACCTGATCGATGTGATAGCCTCTGATTGGCTATCACAGTGATCAGTCAGGTGGTATATCTGCTCCTTAATGCCCTCGAGGCGGGATGTGGGATGGTGGTGATCGCGGTGTACCGCTGTCTCATCCGGGGATCACGGCGCTCCAGAACTGACATCACAGAGTCCCGGGAGGAAACGGAAGTCAACCGCTGGGCTTGGACCGCAACCTTAGCTGGTAACCACGACCTCCCAGGACACTGGGACGTCAGTTCCGGAGCACCGCGGTCCCCGGCCGAGACAGGGATACACCACAATCACCACCATCCCACATCCCGGCTCGAGGGCATTAACAAGCGGATATTTCACCTGGTACCACTGAGGGTCAGCGCATCTTCTGGATGATATACAGGAAAAATAAGCGAGTGCGAAAACCTATAAGCAGCTGTTGCACCAAAGGTAACCATAGAACCTCTAAAAGACAAATATCAGACACAAGGGTGCAGGGCTCAGCATGTATATGCTGATAATGATGAACAGATCATAAATGCATCAAATGCCCATGTAAGGTGACAGTGCAATACTTAATAGTAAGTAAAAAGTGCCAAAAGTGTGATACTGATGAATACCAGATATATCACAGAAAACCCCCACTAATTATGAACATAAGTCCAAAAGTATTGGTGAATAATATAGTCTCTAAAGGTGTTCTATATATTCCAAACTATCATACAGGTGATGTGCCAGAGAGGGATGTTAAGATTGCACACTCACCAGATAGACAATCATAATACGCATTGCATATGATAAACAGCCGGAGGTCTCCCTTAAAGGTACTCAGCAGCCTGCTTCAGGTCCAAGAAATCCCCTCCCTCCAGGAAATCTGTCCCACAGCTACCGTCCTCCAGAATGGGCTCTAGGATGGTGTTGGCTCTTATAGAGCCATAAAGAAGAATGCCCAATAGTGTAGTAAGCAAAAAATTCTGTTTATTAGAGGTATCAATCGGTAAAACAAAGAGCTGTCACTGACCATAAGGAACTTCAAAGGCATCTTCTGGATGAACTTTGCTTTTTTAATGTAATGTTCTTTGCGAGGTACCTATGGAATAAAAGTATTCCCCTTATGATACCCATTGCGGGGTGAATATTGTTTACAAGCCGCAGCTTTCTCAGCACTGGTTTTTATGCAACTATTTTATGCAACTATTTATTGCTTTATTTTATACACCTGTGGCCACGGAGGTGATTGGAACACCTGAATCACATGATTTGGAGGGGTGACCCAATACTTTTGGCAATATAGTGTATGTACACCGTGTTCCAAATTATTATGCAAATTATATTTTTTTCTCATTTACCTAAATAATTGATGTAAATAACAGTCAGCATAATTCTCATGTTATCACCTATTAAGAGTACAATTCACATTTTATTGAACAAACCTCCTAATCATAACAGGATTTTTGTTCCAAATTATTCCGCACAGTAAGTTTCAAAACACTTTATAGGTTGTAAAGAACTGAAAATTGTCATTTGTTGTGTTTGCAGTATATTTAATTAAATCAAAAGCTATTTCAATCAAACTTTTAACAACATTTTAACTTTTTAAACATTTTAACAGGTCACGTTACATTGTAACATAGGAGCCCTTATTTGATAGCAGATCACAAGTCTCGCATCCATTGAACTTGTGAGTTTTTGGACAGTTTCTGCTTGAATTTCTTTGCAAGATGTCAGAATAGCCTCCCAGAGCTGCTGTTTAGATGTAAACTGCCTCCCACCCTCATAGATCTTTTGCTTGAGGATGCTCCAAAGGTTCTCAATAGGATTGAGGTCAGGGGAGGATGGAGGCCACACCATGACTTTCTCTCCTTTTATCCCCATAGCAGCCATTGATGCCGAGGTATTCTTTGCAGCATGAGATGGTGCATTGTCATGCATGAACATGATTTTATTACGGAAAGCATAGTTCTTCCTTCTGTACCAGGGAAGAAAGTGGTCAGTCATAAACTCCACATACTTTGCAGAGGTCATCTTTACACCTTCGGGGACCCTAAAGAGGCCGACCAGCTCTGTTCCCATGATTCTGGCCCAAAACATGACTCCACCACTGCCTTGCTGACGTCGCAGCCTTGTTGGAACAGGGTGGCCATCCACCAACCATCCACTACTCCATCCATCTGGACCATCCAGGGTTGCACGGCACTCATCAGTGAACAGGAATGTTTGAAAATTCGTCTTCATGTATTTTTCTGCCCAATGCAGCCGTTTCTGCTTGTGAGCATTGGTTAGTGGTGGCCGAATAGAAGGTTTATGCACAGTTGCAAGACTCTGGAGGACTCTACACCTTGATGTCCGTGGGACTCAAGAGCAGCTTCAAATATCTGTTTGCTGCTATGTAATGGTATTTTAGCAGCTGCTCTCTTGATCCGATGCATGGATCTGGCAGAAATCTTCCTCAATGTGCCTTCATCTGCACCAACCCGTCTGTGCTCTGAATCAGCCACAAATCTCTTAATGGTGCGATGATCACGCTTAAGTTTTCGTGAAATATCGAATGTTTTCATACCTCGTCCAAGGCATTGAACTATTTCACTCTTTTCGGCAGCAGAGAGATCCTTTTTCTTCCCCATATTGCTTGAAAATGGTGCTCTGCTTAATAATGTGGAACACCCTCCTTTAGTAGTTTTTTCTTAAATTGGGCTCACGGGCCAATCTAATTATCACAGGTGTCCGAGATTGTTTTCAGTGATCAAAAGAGCCCTGACGCACAATGCCATCCATGAGTTAAACTGAAAAACAAAATATTTAATCTTTGTGACACTTAAATAGAATTTGCATAATAATTTGGAACGCGGTGTATACCTTGCTGGGGGGAAGCAGGTGGGATTTCCGAAGGAACTTTCGCTCCAGGCTGAGTGTTGTTGCAGGTTTAGTGACAGAATGCCAAATATCATTGTTATCTTTGGTTGCAGTACTTTCTGCTTAAAACTGTTCCATCGCTCCTCAGGCAGCACCCCAAAAGATCCCTCGGCCAGGAGAATGCGTCTGCGGCGCAGAAAGGACTCCACACAGGATGACCAGGCTAAACAAGTGCTAAAGGGAATGTCCGATGTGGCACAGGAAAAAAATAAGAAGATTCAGGTGAGAAGATTACAGAGACAAAATGGACAATGCCGATACATTTCTGTGTAGGATTTCTGTACACTTTTATGCAAACTTGAAGATACTTTGCTGAAATGATGAGCTACTTGTTTTCCGTAGTAAGACCTTGTATGTATCTTGCTGGGTTATTTTTGGATATGTGATCTTCTGTAAATGGTTACTTTAGGTAGCCTGTAATTTGTGTCCATGGACATTCACAGTCCTCCATTGATATACAGCTCTTTCTGTTATGCTCTGCCCACAGGAAAACGGTGACATGTGAGATACACAGACCTAAAGACCCGCCGATGGGATCAGGGCCTAGAGAAGCCACATCTGGATTACTCCGAGTTTTTCACTGAAGACGTCGGCCAGATTCCGGGCATCACTGTCTGGCAGATTGAGAACTTTATCCCGATCTTGGTGGAGGAGGCGTTGCATGGGAAGTTTTATGAGGCTGACTGCTACATTGTGATGAAGGTGAGCGTGTCAGTCTTTTTACCATGGCACCAGTGGCAGAACACTCAAGATTGCCGGAGCAGAATCACTTTACATTTCTCTACACCTATCTGGCCCATGGGACAAAATAGTACTTTGTCCGATATTTCTAGATCAGGGGTAGGCAACCTGCGTCTCTCTAGCTGTTGTGAGACTACATTGCCCATGAGGCATTGCAAAGATTACAAAACTGACAGTTACAGCTATGACTTGCAGAGGCTTGATGGAACTTGTAGTCCTGCGGCTCTCAGGTTGCCGACTCCTGGTCTAGATGCTCTGTTGAAGGCTCGGTAAGGTATCCGACAAGGTGCATTCCTCTTGCTGGTGTTTGTCTCAGACAAAAACACAGCCGTCAAAGCAGCGGAAGTGTGCCAACTTGGGGTATTTTGTTCAATGGGGAAATGATGGGTGCAGAGAAATTTAAAGTGATTTTTCTTCTTAAATATATATTGTGCTGGACTTTTTAAAAGTGAAATCATATGTATTGATTAAGCAAATATCCAGCTATCTTGTATTTAGCTGCACTACGCTGATATAGGAGCTTTATCATCTTAAAGTTGTTCTAAAGCCTGACCCCCGGTTCACACCTATGTGGCCATGCGGGCCGCGTTTTGCACGGGCACGAGAGCCCATTCATTTGAATGGACTCCCATTCCCGTGACACGCAGGGAAAGAAGTCCCTGCACTTCTTTGGAAAACGCAGCCCGCACGGGAACCTTAGTTCCCAGTACCGTTGCGTTTCCCAGTGCGGGCAGTGATCGCATGAATAGTAGTAAGCAAGATGTCACTTCTGACATCATTGCTTACTACTAGTGAAATCTGTGAATGATCACAGAGGTCACATGGTACAAGGCTTTTCACAACAGCCTTGTACCATGTCACAGCTCTCACAGTATTTCTCAATGGCTGCAAGAATGCAGTCCGAGAGATGGAGAAATGATTTATTTTACAGCCTTTATGGGTGTAAAAGCAATCAGTGTAAAAACAAAAAAACAAAAACATCACCCTCACAAGCAGTACAGTGTCACTATGGTGACACTGTACTGCTAGGGTGCCAGTATGTAAAAAAAAAACAAAAACACATAAATAATATTTTAAAAAAAAAATTAATAAAAAAAATATAATTTTTGGTTATAAACTAGTTTGGGTTATTTTTTTTACTAAAAAGATAGATGAATACATTTTGGCCAAGATTTATGAAGAAAGATTATTTATTTGCAAAATGTTATAAGAAAAACACTTCTTTTTTTTAATTTTTGGATTTTTTCATTTATATAGCAAAAAAAATAAAAATCCCAGTGGTGAACAAATACTACCAAAATAAAGTTTTATCTGTCTCAAAAAAATGGTAAAAAAATTCATATGGGTACAGTGTTGCATGACCGTGCAATTGTCATTCAAAGTGTGACGGCGCTGAAAGCTGAAAATTGGTCTGGACAGGAAGGGGGTGAAAGTGTCAAGACTAGAAGTGGTTAAGGTTAAAAAAAAAATGTTTTCCAGCTTTTCCTCAATGGATCCAGTGCTGTGCTTGGCTGCATCGCTTCTCTCCCCTGTGTTCCTCTTTGCAAAGAGACTTGGGCAGTAGCAGGAGCCATTGGCTGAGAGAAGGAAGCAGGGGGTCAGGCCAAGCTGCACTGTTTGTGTTTATGAAGTGTGACTCCATAGAGACACACAGTTCAGGAGCAAGGACTAACTGTGTACCCCCCAGAGCAAGTGTCTTCCAATGGGGGCCGAGACACAGTTCAGGAGCAAGGACTCACTGTGCACCTCCCAGAGCAAGTGTCTTCATAAGGGCCGAGACACACAGTTCAGGAGCTAGAACTCACTGTGTACCCCCCAGAGCAAGTGTCTTCCAATGTGGGCGAGACACACAGTTCAGGAGCAAGGACTCACTGTGTACCCCCCAAAGCAAGTGTCTTCCAATGAGTGCCGAGACACAGTTTAGGAGCAAGGACTCACTGTGTACCCCCCCAGAGCAAGTGTCTTCCAATGTGGGCTGAGACACACAGTTAGGAGCAAGGACTCACTGTGTACCCCCCCAGAGCAAGTGTCTTCCAATGTGGGCCGAGACACACGTTTCAGGAGCAAGGACTCACTGTGTACCTTCCATAGCAAGTGTCTTCCAATGTGGGCCGAGACACACAGTTCAGGAGCAAGGACTCGCTGTGTACCTTCCATAGCAAGTGTCTTCCAATGTGGGCCGAGACACACAGTTCAGGAGCAAGGACTCACTGTGTACCCCCCAGAGCAAGTGTCTTCCAATGGGGGCCGAGACACACGTTTCAGGAGCAAGGACTCACTGTGTACCCCCCAGAGCAAGTGTCTTCCAATGTGGGCCGAGATTCCCCCAGAAAGGGTTTTTTGGGGCTGCTCTATGCTAAACCATTGCACAGAGCAGGTGAGTGTTTATCATTTCAATTGAGAAAAAAAAATTGCCTTTAGTAACACTTTAAAGAGGACCAGTCACCAGGTTTCCAGTTACTGTAGGGTTCATTTTAGGTAGTACTCTTCCTTCATAGCAGTTGGTGTGTCTTTGTTGTGCATTACCGTCCTTTCCAGAGCCCACAGGGAAATTGTGTATTGTTTCTTCTTTGCCCCCAACTTGTCAATCCCTCTTTCTATATGCAGAGAGGGTGGGAAGACCCCAGCTACAATTGGCACTGGTGATTAGGTCAGCAAATTATACATCTTCTCAGCCCTAATGTTGGGAGACAGGATATTGGCTTCCTCAAAGATGGAAAAAATTATATATCAACTTTTTCAATAATCCCAATATACTCAAACAATATCTATATAACACAAATAAAATTAAATAAAATTCAAAAAATATAAATGTCCCAAAACTTATAACTGTCCCAAACAAATTTTCAAAAGTCTTTTTAAATATTCCAAATTGACTTGCAGATAATCCAGTGTAAGCTTTTCAAAATCTTCATGAACCTCAAAAACAAAAACTTAAAATAGTGTATTACCCTTTTAACTTCATACAAAAATCGTGACAACCAGTGTATCGTGCGAACTCCAAAACGTGCATACTACACACGTGAAGATATTTGAGAAAAAAAAATAATATATTATATATATTCTAATATTATATCTCTCAAATTACTAATAAAGTGAACATAACAATATCCACAAACGATAAACACGTGATCACCTCCACATACTGCACACTGATAGTGAACATTTCAAAACATATCACAGTGACTTATCAAGTGATCTCCTCCAACTATTGAAAAGTGGACACCCACCCTTATACAAATATGACAGGCTTTATACACCTAGATAATGGCACTCTCCAAACTTTCTACTCCTCCTGCTTCCACTCCTGCATATTCTCTTGAAGCAAAGGGGAGATATTCAGCGGTATGTAATAAATATATAGACTTTTATTAAGACATCTTACATTAAAATTGAAGACATTCAACTTCCAAACCTCAGAGTAGTATAAATGTAGTCTTGGTATGGAAAACCAGCATGTTCCCACTTTCAAAATGGCCGCGACTGCGCCAGACGCCACGTGTCCTGACGCGCCCCACCACCTCCTGGACCTTCCCCCAAAGATGGAACCACAGAATGTGGAGCCGATTGCCTTCAGTAGCAGAAAGTAGGGTGGTTTGGGGGAGTGAGAGGTTCTGAATGTGTTGTTTGAATTGGGTATTGGTTGTATAATGCTGAGTGATGAGGTTTAACTACTGTGTGACTGTTTTGTTTTTCCAGTGAAAGATCAGTCCACCCAAAAATGACATAATTGTTCTGGGTAGAACCTGGTGGTCCGAGTCAGTTTCCTGGCTTCCTATACATCTTAGATCAGGCATGTCCAAAGTCCAGCCCGCGGGCCATTTACGGCCCAGGGGTCGGTTTAATACGGCCCTCCAACAGCCCTCCCTGCTCTGTGTAATGTGGCCCTCCCACGGCCCTCCCTTCTATGGCAGACAGTCTTCTGCTTGAGAGCAGAGGGCAGTGCGCATGCCTGACTGCGGCACGTTCTCCCTGGTCTGTGTAAATGCGGCTGTCGCACGGCCCTCCCTTCTGTGGCAGACAGTCTTCTGCTTGAGAGCAGTGCGCATGCGTGACTGCGCTGCGCTGGGAGCGACAGAGGGCGGTGACGTCAGGGCCGGGCTTCCAGCGTGAAGTGTGTTTCTCTTCCCCTCCCGGCTGCCGAGCAGAGACTTCAGCTCCAGCTACCTTTTTCACCCTTCACATTAGTGCAGGTAAGTTTTTTTTTAAATTTATTTTCAATACATTGTGAAAACTCAGCTGTCAGTTGATCTTAATGTTATGAAATGAAAAGTATGTCGTTTGCAATTAACTTGGCATAAAATAATTTATTTGCATTTAATTGTAATGGTTCAAAGAATGTTCGGAAAAATGTTCGGCCCTCCACCATGTTCACTTCATCCAATCTGGCCCTCTTTGAAAAAAGTTTGGACACCCCTGTCTTAGATGCTTCAACACTGAGATCTCCTGCCAATGTTCTCTACTCTGTTCCGGTCTATCTGGCCAGGCACAACCGGTGTGCAGAGTCAGGAAGTCGGTGCAGAAATCTCACTGTATAGAGTCCCCAAAGGACAGAAGAAATGTCAGTTGGTGTCACTCTAGAAAACCCTGAAATATCAGTTTTGGACCGACAGTCATTTGGACTGACCATTTAATGAGTCCTATAATAAACCATTCCTTCTACTTATATACTCTTAGATTGTAAGCGCCCAGGATCAGGGCCCTCCTAATCAGGGTGGATTTGATTTAAATCAAACTTATTTAAATCACGATTTAAATCACTAGTCAGTAAGTCAGTAGATGAAGATTTTTAGAATAACTTTTCATATTAGTTTTTTTATCCCCAGTTTAATAGGTTAATCATTCATATTTGGACAACTTTTCTGTTGTAATTAGGAAGGAGAAAAATAATCATTACCGTAATAATAACAATTTAAGTAGATTTATTCAACTGAAACAATAACATTCCAGCATATGTGATTTGCTTAAACATCCATGTTTGTTAACTAATTTGGCTAAACAGAATATATATATTTGAAGAACCTTAGACTGTCAGCCCCTCCCCCTCACACTTAGTTTCACTTTCTTCTTGTGCAGATATATTCCACTCCAAACAATCAGAAAAATATTGTTTCTATTCTATTCACTGAACTTCTTGAACCTTAGCAGTGAAGGGGTTGATTCTGTATTCAGAGGTTTGTAGAAGTTAGGATGAAGGTCTTTTTCTTAACTCTGTTCATGTTATAACATTTTTGCTGTGAAGAAGAGGCATGTGATCTCCGCTGAGTCAAATTCAGTTTTGAGAACTGCAAAAGTAAACCGAATCATCTGTGATAATATCTTGTAGGCAGAGAAACTGCCCAATAATCTTACAAAACCTCTGGAAGAGCCTGACATTGTGAATGGATTCATGGGATTTATTTACCAAAAACATTAAACATATACAGCCTTATTCTACATAATTAAAAAACTAATCTTTATTTCATGATGGAATAACCTTTGGATGGTAAATATATTTTCCTCAAAAAGCATTTTATTCAAAAAAAATCCGATTTTTTAAATAAAAAAAAATCCGATTTTTTTTTTTTTTTTTTTTTTTTTAAATCATTGATTTTTATCCACCCTGCTCCTATCCCTCTTGTATTGATCTGTATTGTTGCTGTATTGTCTCCCGTTATATTGTAAAGCGCTGAGCAAACTGTTGGCGCCATATAAATCCTGTAAATTAATAATATTCTCAGTTGACTGACAGAACCCTGTTTGACTCTACAGTATGAAGACTAGAAGTGATCAATATTTAACTTGTTTTGTTTCTCGTATAATTCCTGATTGTTGTTCCTCTGCAGACATTCCTGGATGATAATGGAGGCCTACACTGGGAGATCTATTACTGGATTGGCCATCAGGCTACCTTAGATAAGAAGGCTTGTTCCGCCATCCACGCTGTCAATCTGCGCAATTACTTGGGCGCTGAGTGCCGAACCATCCGGGAGGAAATGGGAGATGAAAGCGAAGAGTTCAGCCAGGTGAGACAGAATTACAAATCAGGTTTACCAGCTGAAAAAAGTCATGTTCTGTATATACCTGTGACCTTGTGTTGGTCCCCTAGGTGTTCGACAATGAAATTTCATACATAGAGGGAGGCTCAGCCAGCGGATTCTACACTGTAGAAGATACCCAGTACATCACCAGGTGGGGGCAGCAGAGAGCCAAAGAACTTCAGCAACAATGGTGTATTTCTCCAATAACAATTAAAAGATACAAGATGTGAAATGAATAGATGCAGTTGATAGTTGGTGTCATTTTGCTGGACGTTTATTGTATTAATGTGTTTGAAGTGTGCGTGAAAGGCTTATTGTGTTTTTTTTTGTTTTTGTTTTTTTTTTTGTTTTTTTTCCAGCTGATAGTGTGGGGTTCAGATACATTCAGTATGTATAAGGCATATGGGTTTACAAAGGCTGGCCATACACTATACAATTTACTTACAAATGTCTGTCCAATTTCCTGTAGATTTACCTTTAACTATGTAGTACAAGGGCCTGCCTATTTGGATACAATTGAAAGTGTTGTTAGGTTTGACCTCATATTATATGGTTTTTGGTAAATCTAAAGCAAAATTCTAGAAAATTGTATAATGTATGGCCAGCCTTAAAGGCAGAACTTTACCTATGGCAACTTGATAAAAAAAATGCTCTTTAGCTAGGAACATACATTCTACTTTAATAATTATGCTACCAAAATTAGTGCGGGCTGTAAATTGCCTTCAGCATTGTTCCTGTTTCTTCTTCCTGGAGGCGGCCATTTTGCTAAAGCCCAGAGCCCCTGAGCAGCAGTAAATCTTTAGTCAGCAGACGGGCGGACTGACCATTTGGAAACTCGGGCACTGCCCGAGGGCCGGGGTCAGTAGGGGGCCCCATGAGATGCCCTGGTACCTTTTTTATAGGCTTTTTTGAGTTTGGGCAAGGACACAGGGGCCTCATGATCCCCTATTGCCCGGGGGCCCCATGAGTTGTCAGTCCGCCCCTGTCAGCAGTTCAACCTCTACATTTTCAGCATAGTGCCAAAAATAGATGTGCAGATCAGGGTGAGACCGTGTATTACTGGATCTTATACAGTATAGGCACTTTTTTTTTTAATGCCTATACTGTTTTACCTGCAGAAGGGATCTAGCAGGACTTAATTATATGCCTTAAGTGTACACCCATGTGAGGGCCGTGTTTTGCCTGCACAGGTGTTCTTTGCATCTGCTTGCTGGTAGTCATCTGGGACACAGCGGCTGCACGGATACAGCTGCAGGTGCATGTCCCCCAATTCACACTGTATTGGGGACCTGCACTCACATGGATGTGTAATTGGGAGTAGCTGCTGCGTCCCCTGTAGCCGCTGCGTCCCCTGTAGCCGCTGCGTCCCCTGTAGCCGCTGCGACCCCTGTAGCCGCTGCGACCCCTGTAGCCGCTGCGTCCCCTGCAGCCGCTGCGTCCCCTGCAGCCTCTGCGTCCCTATTGCTACGAATGGGACTGCCTGCATGCGGTTGCACAAAATTCCTGCACAGGCAAAACACAGCCCTCACATAGGTGTATGGCCAAGTATGTCCACATGAATGAGGCCTAATAATCTCACTGAATTTATGACTTGTTTCATTGCACCAATATTTGCTTTTATATGCAGGCTATACCGAATCTACGGCAAGAAGAACATCCGCCTGGAGCCAATGCCACTGAAGGCCTCTTCACTGGATCCTCGGTTTGTACCCCCTTTCTCAACCTCCCTGATCTGAGACCAAACTCTGGGAGAGGTAGAGTCTCACCGATCTGTTTCCACGTGTTACAGGTTTGTCTACCTCCTGGATAATGGTCTGGAGATTTATATCTGGAGAGGATCCCAAGCTACGCTGAGCGGCACTACCAAAGCCAGGTGAGAGCTCTGCTACCCTGTACAGTCTCTGTTATAAGACGAATTTACAGAATAAACACTAGTCACAGGGTGCCCCCATAGCAGGATTTTCAGAGAAGTGATTTTTTTTTTTTTTCTGGAGAATTCACAGTAGGCAGTTTGGGGATTCGCTTGTAGGAAGATCAGTGACTCAATCATGGATTTGCTATAGGGGGATCAGGGCTTATGGCTGTAGAGAGATGAGGATATATGCAGGTAAGCTTCTCACTGTAGGAGGTTTTGGGGACTTGTAGGGAGGATCAGTGACTTGTAAGGATTTGTAGGCAGGATCAGTAACTTGTTGTATGGACTTGTAGGGAGGATCAGTGACTTGTAAGGACTTGTAGGGAGGATCAGTGACTTGTTGTATGGACTTGTAGGGAGGATCAGTGACTTGTAAGGACTTGTAGGGAGGATCAGTGACTTGTTGTAAGGACTTGTAGGGAGGATCAGTGACTTGTAAGGACTTGTAGGGAGGATCAGGTGTTTTTGACTTGTTGGGGAAATCAAGGATTTGCTATAGCGGGATCAGGGCATAAGAGATGAGGATATATGCAGATATGCGTCTCACTGTAGGTGGTTTTGGGGATTTGTAGGGAGGATCAGAGACTTGTAAGGACTTGTAGGGAGGATCAGTGACTTGTAAGGACTTGTAGGGAGGATCAGTGACTTGTTGTAAGGACTTGTAGGGAGGATCAGTGACTTGTTTTGTTGTAAGGACTTGTAGGGAGGATCAGTGACTTGTTATAATGGACTTGTAGAGAGGATCAGTGACTTGTAAGGACTTGTAGGGAGGATCAGTGACTTGTTGTATGGACCTGTAGGGAGGATCAGTGACTTGTAGGGAGGATCAGTGACTTGTTGTATGGACTTGTAGAGAGGATCAGTGACTTGTTGTAAGGACTTGTAGGGAGGATCAGTGACTTGTTGTATGGACCTGTAGGGAGGATCAGTGACTTGTAGTGAGGATCAGTGATTTGTTGTAAGGACTTGTAGGGAGGATCAGTGACTTGTTCTAAGGACTTGTAGGGAGGATCAGTGACTTGTTGTAAGGACTTGTAGGGAGGATCAGTGACTTGTTATATGGAGTTGTAGGGAGGATCAGTGACTTGTTGTATGGACCTGTTGGAAGGATCAGTGACTTGTTGTATGGACCTGTAGGGAGGATCAGTGATTTGTTGTAGGGACCTGTAGGAAGGATCAGTGACTTGTTGTATGGACCTGTAGGGAGGATCAGTGACTTGTTGTATGGACCTGTAGGGAGGATCAGTGACTTGTTGTATGGACCTGTAGGGAGGATCAGTGACTTGTTGTATGGACCTGTAGGGAGGATCAGTGACTTGTTGTATGGACCTGTAGGGAGGATCAGTGACTTGTAAGGATCAGGAGTTTGCTATAGGGAGATCAGGGAATATGCACATATGCTTCTCACTATACAGTAGAAGTCTTGCCTGTGGTAGATGGAATGCTCAGAAGTCGTCTGAAGGCTACAGTCGCAGATCTTATCTAATTAAGATTTATATTTCTCTTTAATCTCATCTCTTTCAGGCTGTTTGCTGAGAAGATCAACAAGAATGAGAGGAAAGGAAAGGCAGAGATCATACTGCCGACTGATGAGCAGGAGACCCCAGAGTTCTGGGAGGTCCTGGGTGGGCAGCCTGAGGAAATCAAGCCCTGTGTTCCTGATGACTTCCAGACTCCCAAACCAAAACTTTATAAGGTACATGTCTAAGAATAAGAACATCCTTGGTATAAATATATTTGTATCCAGTGTAGTGATTTCAACCTATGTACTGCCACCAATTTTCAACCTTCAAGCCTGATTTCAGCTGGTGTGTGGTAACATGGTTTAAATACAGTAACCAATAAAGCAAATAAAGGCTTTTGTTTTTTAAATCAGATTGTATTTTTATTTATTTATTTATTTTGTTTATTTTAAATCAGATCGCTTTTATGAAAGGCTTTTAATATATTTTTGCCTGCGTTTGTTCCGTATCGCATATTCTTTTGTGTCCTCCCAAGCATCTCTTCTTTTGCAGGTCGGATTGGGTCTGGGCTATCTGGAGCTGCCACAGATTAATTACAAGATTTGTGTGGAGCACAAGAAAAGGCCAAAGGTTGACCTGATCCCCGAGATGAGGCTGGTAAGAGGGTGCTGACCAATCTGCCACAGATTGCTGGCTTACCCCTCGGTTCACACCTATGCGGCCGTGTGTGTCGCGTTTTGCACGGGCACAAGAGCACATTCATTTGATTGGACTCCCGTGCCCATGCCACGCAGTGAAGAAGTCCCTGCACTTCTGAAAACGCAGTCCGCACGGGAACCTCGGTTCCCAGTACAGTTGCGTTTTCCAGTGCGGTCGGCGTACCATTAGAATTAATGTCACCCGCCTGCGGGTCTGCATTCCTCTGATTGCGGGTGGTGCGGCTGTATCTATCGGCCCAAGAAATATTCTTGGAAAGATAGATACAAGAATTAAAAAGTTTCCACCTTTGTGAAGTGAAATGACACTGGCTTGTTCTTAGAGGGGGTCCATACAAGAGTTTGAGGCCCAGTTCACACTACATGTGTTTCAGTTGCTTTTTTTCTGCATCCAAAACGCACAGAAAGTAGGTTGTATGGTTGTCAATGTCATAGTTTACATCAGCGCTTGCAGTTCCAGTGCGTTCCATATGCAGAAAAAAAAGTAAAAAGTAGAACATGTATAAGAAAAGTGCAGCGCTAAAAATATCAAGCAGTATATATATGATGAATATAAATAAAAATAAAATAAAATAAATATAAATGTGACTTAGTGAATATGCAGCAACAAATAAAATCAGAGTGAAGCGCTCTGCTATAGTAGCATAAATACATAATACAGTGAATATGGACTAGTACTGAAGAAGCAGTGCAATGGTGACAACGAAATTAGTGACTGTAGGGAAATAAATCCGCAAGAGCAATAAATAAAAACAAAAAGTCCAATACTAAACCACGTAAAATGAGTCCAAATGAAGATCTTGACTTCCAGTGATATGTGAATCCGTAAAAGTGACTTCTTTACAATGCACTCACCAGAAGCGCATGTATAATGCTCATATACAGCAGAGGTAGCAAACTCCTCCACATACAGGTCAGGCTATATTCCTGTCATGCACAGTCACAGGAAAGATGTACCAGATACTTCCAGCACAACGACCAATCCTCGATATGAATAATGGCAAAAATCCTGAAGGAACCAGCTCACAAAAGAGCCCAGAAACAAAAACCGCTGATAGTGTATTATTATTATACAGGATTTATATAGTGTAGTATTCTTATTGCAGAGTTAAAAGTATCCAGGGCCGGACTGACCGTTTGGAAACTCGGGCACCGCCCGAGGGCCCGGGGTCAGTAGGGGGCCCCATGAGATGCCCCTGGTACCTTTTTCATAGGCTTTTTTTGAGTTTGGGCAAGGACACAGGGGCCCCATGATCCGCTATTGTCCGGGGGCCCCATGAGTTGTCAGTCCGCCCCTGAAAGTATCCATGTGGAGTAATCAAACCATGATGACCGCATGAACATCATGCGGACGTGGCGGCAGCGTGACGTCAATACGCAGGCTCCTCCTTGACGTGTTTCGTGCACACACACATTTTCAAAGGGATCCATATTTTTATTTACATTTCTCATATATACTGCTTGATATTTTTAGCACTGCACCTTTCTTATACATGTTCTACCATTGAGGATACAGATGGTGGTCCTTTTGCACTAGCAGCTTAATTCTCTATTTCTTTTTCCTGTGCACTCACTGACATCTTCTATCTGAAAAGTAGAACAGGCTGCATTTTTCCTGCACAGAACTGTACTGGACCGCGGTAAAATGCACCAAAAATGCACCGGAACACACATGTCCCTATTTAAACTGAAGAAATAGAGAGAGGGAAAAAATGAACTGGAACACATCAAGAACATGCCAAAAACGTGTATGTAGACACGCATCCGGATGGCATTTCTATAGTGTGAACTAGCCCTAAGTAGCATCTGAATAAATGCATCAAGGTTTGCTTGAAGTCAGATGGCTGCGCATGGCCTGTGCAAAGTGTAGACCTGTGGGTGGGACGCAGCATCTTGTCCCACTGCAGGGGGCGGCTATAAGACCACTTACCCTGCACAAGGAGAGAGAGCAGCAGTGACCAGTCTGTATTAGGGCCCATTCACTGCCCTACAGCCCAAACTGCTGCTTGCTTCTGCCTGCAAAGTTTTGGGCTGGGGGCGGTGTGATGATTTTATCCCTTTTTTTTTTTTTTTTTTTTAACAAAACTTTATATGCACAGCAGCACTGTGCTGTGACAAGCAGAAGGATGCATTGCTGTGAGATATTATCCAGGCAAATTACATAATATTGCACTGCTCTGGAACACGGTGTAATACTGCGTTCTGGTCTGAACATGACACACAGAAATCGATTGTTTTCTGTGTGTCATTCCGGGTTCACGAGGGAAAACACCAGTAACTGCATAGTGCGAATAGGCCCCTTAAAGGGGAAACTACTGCCCAGAGGAAAAGAACAAGTGTTGTCTCACACTGGATTACTGCGCAGATCTGAAGGAAATACACAAAGCACACCGAGATTGAAGGAAGAATATACCAATGTATCTTGTCGGCCCTCGATCCCCTCATGTATTGTATTGTATTGTTATTGTTCTGTCCCCCTTTGTAATGTACAGCGCTGAGCGAGCTATCGGCGCTTTATAAATACTGTATAATAATAATAATAAATTCAGATTTAAGACTCTTTACTAGCACGGAGTGACAGGATGGGAAAGCTTTATTTTAATTTTTTTTTCTTTTTTTTTTTTTTTTTTCCGTAATCTCCAGCTCCAGAGTTTGCTTGATACAAAGTCTGTGTACATATTAGACTGTCACACTGATGTCTTCATCTGGATTGGCCGAAAATCATCTCGCTTGGTTCGTGCAGCGGCTTTGAAGCTGGGACAGGAACTGTGTGGTATGCTGCACCGACCAAAGCACTCCGTGGTGATCCGCAACTTGGAGGGTACTGAGTGCCAGGTATACGGGTCATACGAATGTCATGAGGGAATTGATGTATACAGCCCCTAACCGAGCCTATAAAGCAGAACGGAAATGTCCTCTGTTTACAGGTTTTCAAGTCGAAGTTTAGGAACTGGGACGACGTCCTGAAGGTGGACTACACCAGGAATGCAGAGAGTGTGGCGCAGCCTTCTAATCTGTCCGGAAAAGTAAAAAAAGATGCAGAGAAAAAGGATCAGATGAAAGCCGACCTGACAGCACTCTTCCTGCCTCGCCAGCCACCAATGGCCGTTTCCGAGGTCAGAACCAACAACTTACAGGTTTAAAACAACAACCCCCCTCTGGTGGCACCTCTCAGTTAAAAAAAAAAAGGAGGGGGGCATGCATACTGTAGGATTCAGGTTTTTTATGCAAAGTCTTCCCTGCCTCCCAGAGACAGCAAAACAGAGCTAGAATTTTTTAAACAATCTTCATATTTCATCCGCAGGCTGAGCAACTGATGGAGGAGTGGAATGAAGACTTGGATGGGATGGAGGGATTCGTACTGGAAGGGAAGAAGTTTGCCCGTCTGCCGGAGGAGGAGTTTGGTCACTTCCATACGGAGGATTGCTATGTCTTCCTCTGCAGGTACCTGATGTAGAAAGGTCATTCTTCAATGTATAAAATCTTCAGCTTTCCCTTCAGTCTTCTACAGTTGTAAAAGCTTTCCTGGACTGAAGGTGCTCATGCTGATTTTCACTGTATAGAGTAAGCTTCTTACAGTTGACTAAGCTGGGGAAAATTCAGCATCATCTAGTCCAGGGGTCTCCAAACTTTCTAAACAAAGGGTCAGTTTACTGTACTTCAGACTTTAGGGGGCCTAGCTAGGGCCAATGGGGGATGAAAATGTCTTGGTGTCAAGGGGGAGTAAATAATACCCCATTGTTGGCGTCGGCTGGAGGACTAGTGCCCCATTGTTGGCGTCGGCTGGAGGACTAGTGCCCCATTGTTGGCGTCGGCTGGAGGACTAGTGCCCCATTGTTGGCGTCGGCTGGAGGACTAGTGCCCCATTGTTGGCGTCGGCTGGAGGACTAGTGCCCCATTGTTGGCGTCGGCTGGAGGACTAGTGCCCCATTGTTGGCGTCGGCTGGAGGACTAGTGCCCCATTGTTGGCGTCGGCTGGAGGACTAGTGCCCCATTGTTGGCGTCGGCTGGAGGACTAGTGCCCCATTGTTGGCGTCGGCTGGAGGACTAGTGCCCCATTGTTGGCGTCGGCTGGAGGACTAGTGCCCCATTGTTGGCGTCGGCTGGAGGACTAGTGCCCCATGTTGGCGTCGGCTGGAAGGACTAGTGCCCCATTGTTGGCGTCGGCTGAAGGACTAGTGCCCCATTGTGCGTCCCAGGACTAGTGTTTGTTGTCAGTGGATGGAATAGTGCCCCAAGGGCTGCATAAAGGCAAGCAAAGGGCCGCACATTGGAGACCACTGCTCTAGCCTTACTTCCCCAGTCTGAATGGTTCACCTGGCCTTTTCATTCATTGGATTTCAGTTCTTTTAATTATGGAGGCTTGGCATCACATGCGGGACTGGGAACGCCAACTTCTCCTGACTGCCATTCTCCCATCAATGCATTTTGATATTTGCATAACTCCTCTCAAGGGCCAGCCCACTGCTTGCATCATGGCTAAGGTCTCTTGAGAGGAGTACTGAGGGAGGGTGCTGTGGTCTTTTAAGGAAGCTATGTACAGCACCATGCCAGCCCCTCCTACCTGCCTGCAGTGCATAGAGAAGCACAGAAACCCAGTGATGACATCACTGGGGCTAGAATAAGGGATGTAAGAAAAATGTAGAGATTTTATATAAAAATTCATTAGCATGTTGGTGATGGGGGGAAAGGAGCCAGGGAAGACAAAATATAAACAGATTAGACCTCAGCTTTAAAGGGCAGCTAGCTCCGTAACATTGCAGTAGAATGAATGTTGCATAGATTTTAAGCCCATATCTGTTCTGCTTGTTAGAAATCCAACTCAAAAGACTTTTCTGAAATGGTCTGACTACAGGTGCCTTTGTCTTTTTGGAGTTTGATTCAGAAATCAGAATGAAGTGTAGGGGTTAGAAAAGCTTTTATAAAGGTAGAACTCCTTAGGCTAGGTTCACATCTGTGTGGTTGGTGCCACTGCGGATCTGCACGAAAATCCGTGCAGCCGTACCACCCGCACAGAGGAATGCGGACCCGTGGGTGGGTGGGTGCCATTAGTTCTATTGGCACGTTGCTCACACTGTAAAACGCAACCATACTGGCAACTGAGGTTCCCGTGCAGGCTGAGTTTTCAGAAGAAGTGCAGGGACTTCTTTCCCTGCGTGTCACGGGGCACGGGAGTCCATTCAAATGAATGGGCTCTCGTGCACGTGCAAAATGCGGCCCGCATGGCCGCATATATGTGAACTGGGGGTTAGACTGACTGTCAATAGCCAATCCTTGTATCCCTCCCTCGGTATTCCAATCTGTCAGACACCACTGCAATATTGATGGTTGTTCTGGAAGACACAGCTGTATTACTGTGAATGGGGTTCACACACAACTGTAGCTGTTGCCCACTGCAAAGAGGTGATGTTCTGAATTCAAGGTCCTCTTTTGTTGGATTTACAGATACTGGATTCCGGTAGAACGCGATGACGAGGAGGAGCATCAGAAAAGTAAGAAAAGGAAGGTGAATGCAGATGGTGAACAGGACGACGAGGATGAGGAAGAAGAGGAGAAGCAGCCAGAAGAAGACTTCCAGTGTGTGGTCTACTTCTGGCAGGGCAGAGAGGCCTCCAACATGGGCTGGCTCACTTTCACCTTCAGCCTGCAGAAGAAGTTCGAGAGTCTCTTTCCTGGGAAGTTGGAGGTTTGTTTCTCTACACGTGGATTGCATTCATTCCCACGATGCACTTCTCCTTTGTTCCTGCGCTCTTACATCACTGTGTTTTCAGGTCGTCAGAATGACTCAGCAGCAAGAAAATGCAAAGTTCCTCTCTCATTTTAAGAGAAAATTCATCATTCACAAAGGGAAGAGGAAGACCAGGGATGTGGGCCTTCAGCCAAGCCTATACCACGTGCGAACCAATGGCAGCGCGCTCTGTACCAGGTATAGCGGGTGATCGGGAAGAGAAACGAGAGGGGTCTGTGCTTTACCTTGGTGGTATCTAGATGCCTGAAAGATAATTTTGCCAAGAAAGAAAGGTTGTCCGCACTAACAACGATGTAGAAGATAAAATCCTTTATTTGATTCTTCACAAACCATGTAGTACAGGGGTGGGCAACTGTGGCCCTGCAGCTGTTGTAGAACTACAAGTCCCATGAAGCATTGCAAAACTGACCGTTACAAGCATGACTCCCAAATGCAGAGGGATGATGGGACTTGTAGTTCACCAACAGCTGGAGGGCCACAGTTACCCACCCCTGATGTAGTAAAAACATGACAACTCCAAGACTAGACATGGAAACAGTAAATGCGTTTCACACGAGTCATGTAGTTGTACTGATGTCAGTAATGAGCATGTGTTCATGTGAAACGCGTTTACTGTTTCCCTGTCCAGTCTTGGAGCTGTCATGCTTTTACTACATGGTTTGTGAAGATTCAAATAAAGGATTTTATCTGCTACATCGTTGTTAGTGCGGCCAACCTTTGTTTCTTGGCATTGTTCCTGCGATCACGGATCGGGCCGGCACCAACGTGTATGTGGAGGGGCCAATACATCTTCACCACTCACCTGGAGCCGTTCGTCTGTCAGGTTTTTGTCATTTTGTCAGGTTTTACCTGTTTTTCTTCCGATCCATTTTTGCATTTTTTGCACATTTGTTTACCCTCTAGACGCCGAGCGCGCACGCAAATATGCGGCTTCTCGGCGTCTGCGCCTTGACACTAAGCGGACGCATATTTGCGAACAATTTGAAAATACATACGTGCTGAGCGCGCGCCCTGCATTCCCAGTGCATATGTCCGTGACTCATGGGAAGGTCCCAATCTCCCCTTGCGATCGGGACCTTTTCCAATCATGTGACAGCGAATCACGGCGGTCACGTGACCCTAAAACCCCCGCCCCCCGCCTCCCGGCTTCTGAAACTCTTAAAGGGCCAGGAGGTGCCGGCGCAAAGGGTTTAAAAATCATTTTAGGCCTGAAGATTACATAAAACCCCGAAAACATATTTTTTATGAAAGCAGAGACCCTAGAGAATAAAATAGCAGTAGTTTCCAGTTTTTAATGTCGCACAATATTACTGCAAAGGTCTAGGAAACGCAAATACACTAAAGTTAATTTTAGGGCACACAAACACAATACATTACCCAATTTTTTGGGTAAAATATAAAAAATGAGGTTGCACTGAGTAAATACATGTCAAACCCTCAATTTGCGTGTGTCTCTGAAATGGCGACAAACTTCAGTACCCTAAATTTTCCACAGGGGCACATTAAAAATCCCCCCCTATAGATCTTCAGTTTAGCATCATGGAGGAGGTCTGGTGCTAGAAATATTGCTCTCTCTCTGGCGTGCGTGACCATATGTAACGTGTATTGCAATCGACGTTTGCATGCGTAGGCACCCCTGACTCGTGCATTTACGTTCATATATGGGGAGGGGGGGGCCTGAAAAAAAAGGGGGGTGGTATTTTATGCGCTTTGGTGTAATTTTTTTTGCAATTCTTAAAAATAAATTTTTTTACTTTTTTTTTTCTCATCACATAGAGGACAAAAGTCGCCCATGTGGTGTTTTTTGGTGACAGCTTCTCTTTAACCACTTGCCTACCGGGCACTTATACCCCCTTCCTTACCAGGCCAATTTTCAGCTTTCAGCGCTGCCGCACTTTGATTGACAATTGCGCGGTCATGCAAAACATTGTACCCATATGAAATTTTGATCATTTTTTTCTCACAAATAGAGCTTTCTTTTGGTGGTATTTAATCGCCACTGGGCGCTTTACTTTTTGCGCTATAAATTAAAAAAAGTGCAAAAAAATTTGAAAAAAAAAAAAAAGTTTATTTGTTTCTTTTATAAAATTTTTCAAACAGGTATTTTTTCTCCTTCACTGATTTGCGTTGATGAGGCGGCACTGATGGGCACTGATAGGCAGCACTAAAGGGCACTGATAGGCAGTACTAATGAGGTTGCACGGATAGGCGGCACTGATAGACAGCACTAATTAGGGGTCACGGATAGGCGGCACTGATATGCAGCACTCATAGGCGGCACTGATAGGTGACACTGATGATGGGTACTGATAGACGGCACTGACTGGCATCACTTCTGGGCACTGACTTGGGCACTGATTGGCACTGACTGGCAGCACTGCTGGGCTGCACTGGTGGGTGGCACTGGTGGACAGTACTGGTGGGTGGGCACAGGTGGGTGGCACTGGTGGGCACAGGTGGGTGGCACTGGTGGGCACAGGTGGGGCACAGGTGGGTGGCAATGCTGGGCACATGTAGGTGGCACTTCTGGGCACAGGTAGGTGGCACTGCAGAGTGGCACAGGTGGGTGCACTGCTGGGCACAGGTGGGGGCACTGCTGGGAATGGGTGGGCGGGGCTTTGGGCGCACTGCTGTTCGGAACTTGCGGGGGTCACTGCTGGGCACCGATCATCAGGGCAATCATCAGTGCCCTGATGATCGGTGCCGATCCCCGCTCTGACAACTGCCGGTTCTTTCTGACAGCGTTTGCAGCCGAGAACCGGCACTTGCATTTTCCTGTGATCAGCGTGTCATTGGACACCGCTGATCACGTGGTAAAAGGCCGGTGGGATCGGCCTTTCAAGTCACGTGCCCAGCTGTGTCCGTAGGACACAGCGATCACGGAGTGGTGCGCGTTCTGGGAGGACGTCATATGACGTCCACTCAGAACTGGCCGGCCGCGGTGAAGCCGTCTTTCGGCTATGCGCGGTCGGCAAGTGGTTAATGAGTCATCTGGGGTCTAAAAGAGACTGGATGCCCCACCTGTGCGCCACTGAATTTAATGTGGTGCGGATCGCACTGCATTTGATTCTTCCCTGGCCATGCTGGCTGGGAACACTGAGAAGGGGTCTTGGAACTGACGTTTTACATGTTGCTTCCGGGTCAGTAACGAGATGAGGAGAGAGGACGTGTGTCCGCTCAGTTCCCTACCCCCTACCCTGTGGAACCTGCTATGCTGGTCCCAGATAGACAAGCGGAGCTTGGGATACATGTTGACACGTGTTAGTAAAACATATATCATCACAACTACTTTGTACATCCAGGTGGAATATACCGCGGTTTTTTTCAGGACAAATTGGGCTTTGATTTAGTGGTAAATGGTAAATTTTTTTTTGTTTTTATTATCGAGGAAAACTGGCCAAAATAGTAAAAAAAATATATATATTGTTTTAATTTATCTGTGTTTCTCGTTACTGCCATAACCTATCACCAAAGAACAACCCAAAATAAATTTTCCAGCTCTTGCCGATCGCAGCGATACCATATATGTGTATGTTATTTGTTGTTTGTACCCGAAGTACAGCCCAGAAACAATAGTGCGCATTTTGTTTTTGTTTTTTTTTTTGTACCTAAAACACACTGAAACCAATTAAAATATATATATATATATGTATATCATGACCTTGACCCAACCACTAACCCTGGCACTGAACTAGATCAAACCTTGATCTAGGTACTTTTTTCTTTATTTTTTCTTTTATTTTTTAATATTTATTTATCTTTTTTTTTTCCTTTTTTTTTTTTTACAAACCATTTTTTTTCTCTCTGCAAGGAGATAGACAAATACAATGTATCTCTCTCCTCCATTCAGAAAAAAAAAAAAAAACATGGGGGCGGGCTTCACAGTGACTGATTACTGTGATAACCAATCAGAGGCTATCACAGCGATCGTGTGACCTGGAATCGTAAGTCCTGGGTCCCGATCGTTAGAAAGGGACCCGGGGCTGTCAGTGACACCCCGGCCTTTGTACTGGGTGTGCTCTGTGCGGCGCACTCCCAGCACAAAGACAGGTATGCAAATATGCGGCGCCACGGAAAATAGCCCAGTTCTGTGAGGCCGCATATTTGTGTGACGTCAGCGTGAAGGAGTTACAGGCTTTTGTTAGGTACGTTGTTCAAATCCTGCTTTTTTTAGCTGAAAAATATGCATAAATTTGAAAATATTTTTCAGCTTGCACATACATTTGAATTTGAAAGTTTTTCTTTTTTTTACTACACACACTTCATGTCTCTCTCTTTCTCTGCACATGAGAGCACACAGAGAGAGGCACAGTGCCATCTTCTGCCATCGTCATGATTGGCTGTCATGGTAATCCTATGATTATAACCAGGGCTGCTGTTAGAAACCACAGTGCCCCCTTAAAAAAAAAAAACACACAGTTTTTACTATGCTTCGGTTATGAATGAACACAGTGAGTGATCAGTACTGATAACTCATTGTGTTCATTCAGGAAAGGAAGGGGCTGGTTAGTGTGACATATTTATCGGACCATTCCCCCACTCTCCATCCTATTGCGTGCTTGCAGCTGGAAGGATAGGAGGGAAGCCGGCACTGTTGGGGCCCAGGCAGCTGGGTGAATCAAATGTGCACAGGGTGCATGATCGGCATGGTGGGCGGGGGGCAATTCCTGGAACCGATCCCCTGTATGGCTGTCTCTGCAGCAGCTGAAAACCAGCGGGAGGGAGAGGAGAAGAATCCAGCTTTCAGATGCTGCGGAGAGAGCCATAAAAAAGATCGATGCGAATAATTTCCCCCCACTGTGCCGATCACCCTCCCTGGCCACATCCGATTCACCCAGCTGCCTGGGCCCCCCTGCTGGCCTGGGCCCCATACAGAAGGACTGGTGGTACCCCCCTTATCCACGGCCCTGATTATAACCGTGCTGCTGACTGGTTCTCAATCTAAAGTTCAGCAGAAGTGACAGTCACAGGACTAGGAGCGCGCACAGCTGCGTTCTCCTAGTCCTCAAGTGAAATGTTCTGCAGATTGCAGGTGTCGTGGGATTTAACGCGCTTCCCATCTGATTTATGTTCTTTAGAACAGTTGTGTTGATAACAATGAGCTCCTCCCAAGCGGACTTCTTCCATGTAGGACATGGGACTATCCCGCAGGCATTGTAGGTCACAGCTGTATTCATCATGGAATTGTCTTCTCCCACACCTAGGTGTATCCAGGTCAACACAGACTGCAGCTTATTGAACTCCGAGTTTTGCTTCATCCTGAAGGTGAGACAATGACACAGCTCTGGGCTACTTGTAGCCATGCCGGGCACTTCCAGGCCCATTTGGTAAGCTCATTCGTCCTTCTCTTCCAGGTGCCCTTTGAGAGCATCGACAATCAGGGGATCGTCTATACCTGGGTGGGGCGAGCCGCAGACCCCGACGAGGCGAAACTAGCAGAGGAGATCATGAATCACATGTTTGATGACACGTACAGCAAACAGGTGAGGAGGATACCGATGGAGAATCTTTTCCAAGGGGTGGCAGTGGACAAGTAAGGTGGATGGTCATCTTCACGATTTGTAGACAACTAGTATCAATCCTAGGGTGGGGGCCATCCATATTACACTCACCGGCCACTTTATTAGGTCCACGTGCTGCTACCGGTGTCGGACCCCCTTTTGCCTTAATGCTTCATGGCATGGATTCAACAAGGTGATGGAAACCTTCCTCAGAGATATTTGAGTTACTGTTGCCTTTCTATCATCTGGAACCAGTCTGCCCATTCTTCTCTGACCTCAACAAGGCATTTTCCTCCACACAACTGCTGCTCACTGGATATTTCCTCTTTTTCGGACCATTCTCTGTACACCCTAGAGATGGCTGTGCGTGAAAATCCCAGTAGATCAGCAGTGTCTGAAATACTCAGACCAGCCCGTCTAGCACCAACAACCATACCACGTTCAAAGTCACTTACATCCCTTTTCTTCCCCATTCTGATGTTCTGCTTGAACTTCAGGAAGTTGTCTCTACCACATCTAGGTGCCTAAATGTATTGAGTTGCTGCCATGCGATTGACATATGTGTGACATATGTGTAAATATATATATATATATATATATATATATATATACCTGTTCTAACACACCAAACTGATGATAAAAAAATGGAACCTGTGGGCAAGGGCGGACTGACAACTCATGGGAATCATGGGGCCCCTGTATCCTTGCCCAAACTCAAAAAAGCCTATGAAAAAGGTACCAGGGGCATCTCATGGGGTTCCTTACTGACCCCGGGCCCTCGGGCAGTGCCCGAGTTTCCAAATGGTCAGTCCGCCCCTACCTGTGAGGTTTGTATTTGCAGTGATTCCACACATCCCAGTTCATTATGTTATAAAACAGATTGTTGCACCAGAACACAGCCAACTCACTTTATTAGGGCCACCTTGCTAGTGCCAAGAAAATCTCCCCCACATCATTACACCACCACCAGCCTAAACCGTTGATACAAGGCAGGATGGATCCATGCTTTCATGTTGTTTACGCCAAATTCTGACCTTACCATCAGAATGTCACAGCAACCAGTCTGCCCATTCTCCTCTGACATCCACAAGGCATTTTCCTCCACACAACTGCCGCTCACTGGATATTTTCTATTTTTCGGACCATTCTCTGTAAACCCTAGAAATGGTTGTTGGTGAAAATCCCAGTAGATCAGCAGTTTTTTTATAAATACTCAGACCAGCCCGTCTGGCACCAACAACCATGCCACGTTCAAAGTCACTTAAATCCCTTTTCTTCCCCATTCTGATGTTCTGTTTGAACTTCAGCAAGTCGTCTTCACCACGTCTAGATGCCTAAATGTATTGAGTTGCTGCCATGTGATTGGCTGATTAGCAATTTGTGTTACCAAGCAATTGAACAGGTGTACCTAATAAAGTGGCCTGTGAGTGTACGGAATAGATTCATCTCTTAGATTGTAAGCTCCCAGGATCAGGACCCTCCTTTCCCTCTTGTATTGAACTGTATTGTTGCTGTATTGTCTCCTGTTATATTGTAAAAACGCTGAGAAAACTGTTGGCGCTATATAAATCCTGTATAATAATAATATATAAATCCTGTATAATAATAATATATAAATCCTGTATAATAATATATAAATCCTGTATAATAATAATATATAAATCCTGAATAATAATAATATATAAATCCTGTATAATAATAATATATAAATCCTGTATAATAATATATAAATCCTGTATAATAATAATATATAAATCCTGTATAATAATAATAATATATAAATCCTGTATAATAATAAATATAATAATAATAATATATAAATCCTGTATAATAATAATATATAAATCCTGTATAATATATAAATCCTGTATAATAATAATATATAAATCCTGTATAATATATAAATCCTGTATAATAATAATAATAATATATAAATCCTGTATAATAATATATAAATCCTGTATAATATATAAATCCTGTATATAATAATAATATATATATAAATCCTGTATAATAATAATATATAAATCCTGTATAATAATAATAATATATAAATCCTGTATAATAATAATAATATATAAATCCTGAATAATAATAATATATAAATCCTGAATAATAATAATATATAAATCCTGTATAATAATAATATATAAATCCTGAATAATAATAATAAATCCTGAATAATAATAATATATAAATCCTGTATATAATAATAATATATAAATCCTGTATAATAATAATATATAAATCCTGTATAATAATAATATATAAATCCTGTATAATAATAATATATAAATCCTGAATAATAATAATCATTTTATGTCTTTGCCTTTTTAAAATGTATGTAAACTCTTGTTTTGCTTGGAACAGGGAAGGGTTTTTTCTTTCTCTCTAGTTCCCTGTTGAGAAGATTCCTTTTCAGTATTTGTCCTATAAGGCCATTGGTCACTGGGAATAAAAATGGTAGAATTATAAAAGGAAAATCTTTCAATAGAGACACCTTTCTCTAATCGTCTTCCTAGAGCCTTTTATTTCCTGACATTTCCTGTGTATCTTACAGGACAAGACATGACGGTAAATCTCCCCACTATACAGGTGGTAAAAGAAAACGATGGTTTTGCCCTTATATACTCTCCATAACTTAGAAAATAAAAGGTTTTGCCTTTATATGCTGTACTTACTGTACTGTATGCGTGGAAAAATAATGACCAGAAGTTTTGGGCCCGAGAGAATATGTCTGGTGCTTGTTGAGTAATTTCCATGGCACCAGAGCACTATGCACAGTAGGAGAGAGGCCTTCCGCTAAATACAATTTATTACATGGCGGCTCTGTAAGTGAATGTGATGCTTTAAAACCCTTGTGGTTGGGGCATTCACTTAGTCCTTTCTGTTCATTGCACTGACCCCTGGGAAATGTATGCCAGTAACCCTCTCCATATCTGGGTGCCTCAGTGAAGTCACCTTGTCTCCTCCTCCCATGCTCGTCTCCAGGACTTCTCCAGAGCCTACCCCATCCTCTGGAACTCTCTACCCCAATCTATCGCCTACTCTGCCCACTTTTAAGCGATCTCTGAAAACCTCTCTATTCAGGGAAGCCTATCCTGCCTTCAGCTAATAATGGAATCTTCTATTCCTCCTACCAGTCCATCCCCCACAGTTACTGCCTTTTTGTACCACTAGCCCCTCCCTCTTAGATTGTAAGCTCCCAGGATCAGGGCCCTCCTAACCCTCTTGTATTGAACTGTATTGTCTCCCTTTATATTGTAAAGCACTGAAAAAACTGTTGGCGCTATATAAATCCTGTATAAAATAATAATAATAATATATAAATCCTGTATAATAATAATCACCTACTTGGACCTTCCCAGTGACCTGACTCGCCAGGCACTGTGTCTGTGGGAGCCCAGTTAGCTGAAGCGATATTAAGGCTCAGGTGAATGCCCTTGTCCATGCTGGCAGGGGACAGGCTTTTTTATTCAGGCTGTGGCTGCTTTGTAAAGAAAGTATCTTCATTCAGTAGTTCAATTCAGCAGTTTGAACTGTAAGACCTTGCACAACTTTTGCCTTCATGTCACTGGAATGTATGTAGCTGACTTGAAGCATTGGGTTTTCAACAGGTGGGCGTTTGGTCATCTGATGTTATAAAACCTCAGCACAGTTCGGGTGTTTTTCTTCATCAAGAACGAGGGTATCTTCATTCACAGTTCTTGAGTGTATTTGTAGTATCTTCATTCACAGTTCTTGAGTTATTTGTTGTATCTTCATTCACAGTTCTTGAGATTTTATTTGTAGTATCTTCATTCACAGTTCTTGAGAGTTATTTGTTGTATCTTCATTCACAGTTCTTGAGTTATTTGTTGTATCTTCATTCACAGTTCGAGAGTTATTTGTTGTATCTTCATTCACAGTTCTTGAGTATCTTCATTATTTGTTATTTTGTATCTTCATTCACAGTTCTTGAGTTATTTGTAGTATCTTCATTCACAGTTCTTGAGATTTATTTGTAGTATCTTCATTCACAGTTCTTGAGATTTATTTGTAGTATCTTCATTCACAGTTCTTGAGAGTTATTTGTAGTATCTTCATTCACAGTTCTTGAGTTATTTGTAGTATCTTCATTCACAGTTCTTTGAGTTATTTGTAGTATCTTCATTCACAGTTCTTGAGTTGTATCTTCATTTATTTGTTAGTATCTTCATTCACAGTTCTTGAGATTTATTTGTAGTATCTTCATTCACAGTTCTTGAGATTTATTTGTAGTATCTTCATTCACAGTTCTTGAGATTTATTTGTAGTATCTTCATTCACAGTTCTTGAGATTTATTTGTAGTATCTTCATTCACAGTTCTTGAAATTTATTTGAGTTCTTGAGTTATTTGTAGTATCTTCATTCACAGTTCTTGAGAGTTATTTGTGAGAGTATCTTCATTCACAGTTCTTGAGAGTTATTTGTTGTATCTTCATTCACAGTTCTTCAGAGTTATTTGTAGTATCTTCATTCACAGTTCTTCAGAGTTATTTGTAGTATCTTCATTCACAGTTCTTCAGAGTTATTTGTAGTATCTTCATTCACAGTTCTTCAGAGTTATTTGTAGTATCTTCATTCACAGTTCTTGAGTTATTTGTAGTATCTTCATTCACAGTTCTTGAGTTATTTGTAGTATCTTCATTCACAGTTCTTGAGTTATTTGTAGTATCTTCATTCATAGTTCTTGAGAGTTATTTGTAGTATCTTCATTCACAGTTCTTGAGAGTAATACATGAGAAGACTCTAATTGCTGATCAACGGTCCTTTGTTTTTTTATACCAGGTGATAAATGAAGGCGAGGAGCCCGAGAACTTCTTCTGGGTGGGCATTGGAGGGCAAAAACCATATGATGAAGATGCGGAGTATATGAAGTACTCACGTCTGTTCAGGTAGGTAGATCAACATACCGGGATAAATCCACTGGGACTGAAATTCAGCACAACATAATATTTTCGGCTGGGACTTGCAGTTTTCCAAATCCATTTCACCGTGAGCCTTGCCAGTGTATGGAACTATGGCGTGTTGCAGATATAACCTGTTTAAAGAGAACCTGTCACCTTGTGCATCCAAGGCAGTGTCTGTGTAAAGCAGATTACATTTATATTTAGCCTTCCCCTGCCACGCCTACCTCTGTCAGAGTATCATCCAGAATACCTGGGGTTTGCTGGTGTCAGATCTCAGAAGGAACAGTGACATCACTTCTTCTCTCCTGGTTATCAAGAAAGAAAGTCATATGGTCCCAGATGTGCTTGGCAGCTCCCAGAAGCACTTGGTGTTTTGAAGTGGTGGCCAGGGTCAGAGCAGCAGGTAGGGTAAGAGCAGCTGTAGAGGTGCCCTTCATGTACTGCTCTGTTGTCCCTGGCAGAACTGTTGCGAGGGGAGAAGCAGCGCTGGTAGATTCAAAGATTGGCTTGGTGAAAGAGAGCAGAAGCTGGAGCACAAGGCAGGCTTTCAAAGCCAACAGCCGATCAAAGGCAGGGAAGCCTCTGCCACCTGTGATTGGTTGTCAGCTTCCTGGCGGCATAGACTAGTGTCTGAACCCGCCTGAGCTCATCCGAGTCACCTACCTGCTGTTGATGAGTAGATAGATCTATAGGGTAACTCTGGTGGAAATGACTGAGTGGTCACTGAGGAGATGAATGACATGGCCGTTCCTCAGTGGTCACTGAGGAGATGAATGACATGGCCGTTCCTCAGTGGTCACTGAGGAGATGAATGACATGGCCGATCCTCAGTGGTCACTGAGGAGATGAATGACATGTTCCCGTTAAGGGAAACAAGAGTTGGGAAATGTCTCTGCTACTCCCATAAGCTCATCATATTACTGACTTCTTCCTGCTGGATTCCCCACTTATTTCATATACAGCTGTACCTCAGTTTGCGAATTGAATGCGTTCTGCGGGACTTTTCATATTGCAGAAAATTTGTAAACCGAAGTACGGTTTCCCATAAGAATGCATTGAAAACCAATTAATCCGTTCCGGAGGTCAGAAAAAAAAATAAGTCTTTTATCTGTTCAAAACTCTTTATAAAGTGCACTTTAACTAGTAGCTGACCACAGATAGCCAAATGACAGCTGCACTGCGGCTGGACAGTTCTGGGAGGGCTTCATATGATGTCCTCCCAGAACGCGCTCTCCTGTGCACCCCCGGGGGCACGCACCCGACGATCTCCGTGATCGCTGTGTTCTACGTCCAATGACATGCTGATCAACGGGAAATGCAATTGCCGGTTCCCGGCTGCACTTTCCTCACACTGTCAGAATGTGAGGAAAGTACTGCCGCGAACCAGCAGTTGGCAGAGCAGGGATCGGCACCGATCATCAGGGCACTGATGATCAGTGCCCAGCAGTGCCACCCACCAGTTCCGCCCACAAGTACCTACCAGTTCCGCCCATCTGTACCCAGCAGTGCCACCCACCTGTGCCCAGAAGTGCCACCCACCTGTGCCCAGCATTGCCGCCAGTGCCCAGTAGTTTTGCCAGTCAGTGCCACCTATCAGTGCCACCTATCAGTACCCGTCATCAGTGCCGCCTATCCGTGCCACCTCATTAGTGCTGCCTATCAGTGCTCATCACTGCTGCCTATCAGTGCAGCTTCATCAACGCACATCAGTGAAGGAGAAAAATTACTTGTTTGCAAAATTTTATAATAGAAACAAAGAAACTTTTTTTTTTTCACATTTTTTGCTTTTTTTTTTGTTTATAGCGCAAAAAGTAAAACCCCCAGCGGCCAGTACATACCACTAAAAGAAAGCTCTATTTGTGAGAAAAAGATGATTAAAATTTCATATAGGTATAATGTTGCATGACCGCGCAATTGTCATTCAAAGTGCAACAGTGCTGAAAGCTGAAAATTGGCCTGGTATGGAAGGGGGTATAAGTGCCCGGTAGGCAAGTGGATAAAGGCATAAATACTGTACAGGGACATGATTAAAAAAAAAATTCCTAAATGCATTGAAAACCAATTAATCCATTCGTATTGCAAAAAAAATTCATAAACTGAGCCGTTATTTTCAATGGATTTTTATTCATAAACCAAAAATGACATCAACCGAGGCGTCCGTAAACCAAGGTCCACCTGTACTCCATTACAGTGAATGGAAGGGGGGGCTTTGGGCATGACTCTGGTATTTGGCCTCATTTAGGCTGCTGCTCTTGGGTGGAATGATCCTGACACTGGTGTCCCACAGCAGCAGACCAGCATGTCAATCAACCAAGCGGAATGGAAATAAATGTTGTGTATGGCCGACCTTTACCCTTCACACTGCCCCTGCCAGCTTTCTATACATAAGTGTCAATGCCTAATGGAATAGACGTAGCATCCAATCAGAAATCCTAAAGTTACCAGACAGCCGAAATCTCATTGGCTGCTGTCTGGAGAGACCTGATTATTAAACCTGCTTTCATCTCCAGGTGCTCTAATGAGAAGGGCTATTTCTCGGTGTCTGAGAAGTGCTCAGACTTCTGTCAGGATGACCTTGCGGATGACGATATCATGCTCCTCGACAATGGCAAAGAAGTGAGTGCTCAATGTCTAGTGTCGGGTATATGAAGAGGTAACAGGCACACAATGAGAGTGCTGATTGGTTTATCCTTCTTCTCAGGTGTACATGTGGGTGGGGACACAGACCAGCCAGGTGGAGATCAAACTCAGCTTGAAGGCTTGTCAGGTGAGTGCGCAA